TTATTTTTCGATTAGATGCCGGGATCATGCTCATATTTCACTTGCAAAGTAGGATTTCTGAATTCCATTTCCTGTTTACGTGTAATCGCTATGGGAGATGTTTTGGTATATCGGTAACGCACTTGACTTCCAACCTCGAGATCCCTGGTTCGAGTCCGGGTGTCTCCAACACTTTTTTTCTTCACTTTTTTTTCCTTTTGACCTTCACTGTACCATCTCCTTTGATTATTTAAACACGTAGATTCGCAAATAATGTCATAAATAACCCTTTTTACTTTATTATTACCCTATTTTCACTTAATCCATTACTTTTTGCGTGTAATCCCTATGGGAAATGACTTTTTCTCAAATCTGGAGTCTACATTCCTGTCTTTTGCGAGCAATATCGCCGTTATTTCGGCTTGGATTTTGTTGATTTTTGAGTATGTTGTAGCTGAGATTATATGCTATCTAAATCGACCCTCATTTTTTCAATAAGATGTCATGATCGCGCTCATGATCATGATCATGATCATCACAGTCATCATTATCATAATGATGCTAATCATTTATCAATTACATTTTCATTTCTTTGAATAAGATAAAATCGTCAAAAGGTGTTCTTCATGATGTAAATTAGAGTCAAATGTGTAACTGGTTACTGCACAGGGTCAAAGGTCATATATTGTTTCAATCTATCTTCCCTAGATCCATGATGATCAAGGAGACACAATTTAATCTTGACATATGAATAGATCATAATGGGAGAAGCATATGAATGGGAGAAGCATTTTACAAAATAATATATCGTGTAATGCATTATTCGTTATGTAAACCATTATCATACGTATCACCTAATTCGTCTAAGTGACGAATTAAAGTCTAGTTTATTTTTATTATTCTTCCTCGAATTTGTTCGCAAGATATCTCAAGAATGAATAAAGCCATTATCATGAAACTAGCCATGATGATAGATCTTAGTCTAACTTAGAACTGCATGACTTTTCAATGACTCAAGGTCATCGTGACGTCATCTAGGCGCCATTTTGTGAAAATCAACTTATGATCATATCTTCATAACAGAAAGGCAATTCTCATTTATAATTATCAGGATTAAGATCAGTATCCGTCCGGTCAATTTCAGGTCAATAAATGCACGCAAAAATGCGCGTACGCGTTTGTGCGCGCGTTAACGCGCGCGTAAAATTTTAAATTGCTCAAAATCGTCTTAAATTTTTTTTGCATACGTTTTAGGCCATTATAAGCATTTTATAAAAAATCGCGCAAAACGCGCGTTTTTGCGCGTTTTCGTTCGTCACGGCCGAACGAAAAATAATTACCCCTCAATTTATTTTGACAGGATATTCCTCATATTTTTCTGAACAATTTGATACCATGTTCATCTTTTTATTACTACTAATAACGGAATGAGCGTCCGTTGAAGATAAATATCCGTGCGTGCGAGCTCATGTATTACATAGCATATATGGGCAAAAACATGCCTATAAAAAGTACATCGGGATGAATAAGGACTGCCAATTTTGTTTCATATTTAGATACAGTATGAGTCGGAGATATGATTTCATATCTTATTAGGCCATTAAATACATCTTGACGTCATCATAATGGCCTTGAAAGTCAAAATACAAAATTGCATATTATGACGTCATTATATTTATGGAAAATTTAGTGTATTTCTCATAATATTGACTGATTTTCTTCCAAATTTCGGTATCTTGTAGTTGAGGCAATTGCCTTCAAGGTAAATACACACTACTTTTTATTTCATTGACGTCATCATAGTACAAAATTCAATTAAAGGCCACATTTCAGAATTTTCTTAATTTGCGTGTTATGCCTAAGGAAGATGAAGTTCGTTCAAATCATAAATCTTCATGACATTGATCTTTGAGCACTATCTAGCTTATTTGTACTCTATGTTCTCCCAAATTCTGATACGGTGTAGCTAATAAATTATCTACAATATTGACGTACATCATTTATCATTTCGATGACATCATCATAGTGAAAATTTCAATTAAAGGCGACATGTCAGAATTTTCTTAGTTAGCGTGTTAGGCGACTTTTTCTGAAATCCTGATTCTACAAATCTCTATCGAATACCTGCAGGGGGCGCTATACCACTCTTAATGATGGTCTTTATCGTATTTATGATCATTATCATTAGATCATCATCGGCACACTTTCATGATAACAAAATAGCACGTATCACCTAATTCGTCAAAGTGACGAATTAAAGTCTAGTTAATATTATAATTGTTATCATTATTATTATTACTATTATTATCATCATTATGACTTATTAAGTAAGCAAATATCATTCCCCAAAACCTGGGGGATGATTGTACATGCCATCCCCCTCATCCCCCCCCCCCCCCGTTGTCTACGCCCCTGGTACGTTATACAGCCCACCTGATAATTGTAATATAATTTTGTTAAGAAAATATCATAAGAGTCATTTGCACTTTCACAAGTATAGACTTCTGACCAATCAATGGATAATAAACTCTCTTTAAACATTGATATCGATGAATCATTAATAATGCGATTTTGTTACCATTCTTTACAATTCTTTCACTTGCAATTGAAAATACTGGAAAATGATCAGATATAAATGAGTCCTGTATATTTTTCTTCCTGTATCGTATTTGTAAATATGTTATCTATCAAGGTTGCTTTATTTTCAGTAATGCGAGTTGGCTTTGTTATTAAGGGAAGTAAATTAAAAGAAAGAATCATATCTAAAAAGTCATTTGTTTTATTATGGATACCATAGTTAACCCTAAAAAGGCCGGGCTATTTGAGGTCTTAGTACGGCCGGGGGGGGGCATTATGGCCCCCTTAAGATCTCGGCCGTGAAGCGGCCGATCTCCGCGGAAATGCGCACGCTTGTCAAGTGAAGTGTATAGAATAATATGATAATTTCAATTTTTTTTTAAATTCACTTATTTGTATATTTATGGTAATTTATGCAAATTAAATCATAAATCACATTTTTGCCCATAAATCAAATTTTATTCATATTTGAGCATTCTTTTTCACTTCATATCTTTATTAGACCTATTGGAATAAAATACGACAAAAAAATTCGAAAGAGCTAGCTTATTCCTTATGTTTTCTCTTGTTTTTTAACGTATGTACTTTATTGTTTTTGTTGTTTTATTTCATTTCTTACTACAATTCAACTATTTTGACTCCAAAAACAACCACCTAAACTTTAAACAAGACCCAATAACCAACTTTTAGGAAAAATGACATTTCCATATGTTTTGTACACAAATCACAAAAATGAGCGATTTTCGGGCTGACATGCAAAGCCAAAAGGTCACGTGACCTTGTAACTGTTGGTCCGATTTTCATTTTTTTGTTGAAAGATGCGCAAGACTCGAAAGAAAAAAGTCAGCGAACGGCGGGGCGCCATCCATATGCGTTCCCGAGCAATCGGAAAAATCGTGGAGGGGTGGGGGCATTATGCCCCCCCGGCCTTATTAGGGTTAAGCAAGTTTACGTTAAAGTCCCCTAAAATATATAAGTCTTTCTTCTCACTTTCCAGTATTTCAAGAACACTTTGTATTTTCTAATTAAAACAAGATATGTCGGAATCTGGTGGACGATAAACGCAACGAACAACTATAGGTTTAGCTTTCTTACTGATTTCAACAAGTATAGTTTCATAATTGCATTCAGAATAAGTAAATTCGGGTCGTAATTTGTAATTGAGATTATTTTTCAAATAAAGTGCAACTCCTCCACCAGATTTTGAGGGTCTACACTTAGAAACAAGAAAATATCCGTCTAGGTTATGCATATTAATATTTGTAGAAGAATTGAACCAAGTTTCAGTTATTGCAATGGCATCAAATTCAAACTGGAGAGATCACAGAACAATCTGTAATTCATCAAAAAAATTCTTTAGGCTTATAGCATTCAAATAGAGAAGTGACAGTTTAGAAATAAATTTACTAAATTTTAGACTAAATTCTTCACAAAATGTGTATTGACATGAATTTTTAAGTTCAAGATCTGAATCTAAAAGGCTATGCACATCATATTTATTCATACAAAATGGGTTTAATTTCAATCTTAATAACTTGTCAATATTAATTCTCCTATTTAAACGGAAAAAGTCATACATAGTCCAATAAAATTCATTATTATCATCTATATGGTTGAATGGAAAAATATTAGAAGTACATTGAGTGCATAACCATGACTGAGTTGGAAAGAAGGAAGAAGAGATACCACAATGAACACATACACTCATTCCCACATTAACAAATTAACTTTCAGTAAGTAGGTAATAAAACGTAAATACAGTAAAAATAACAAAGATAATTACAAAAAGATCTGTAATTAATCAAAGTGGCATAGGCATAAAATATGAAAAATATCATATTTGCATGTAGTCAGTTCAATGTTTTTCAGTTTTCACAAGTTTGCAAGTTTACTCACGGAATGTAATATCTTTCTTGTCGTCTTCCCATTGGTAGCTTTGGCCAATACAATTACCCTTCCATCTGATGACCATGCGGCATTCAGCCTATCATTCAGTTCCACCTCCTTTTCGCTTCCTTCAACAAAAGTCGATTTGCTGCTGTCAGGTCCTCCTCAACCCCCTTTCTTTTTCCTTTCAGCAGTTTGCGATTCCTGATCATGACATTGCGGGCGAGATAAGAGGTGAATTTTACTATAATGGGTCTTGGAGGGAGTGACTTGCTGTTTTTTCCTCTCGTAGGTTGATGCGGAAGACCTACTCTATGCGAATGATCGATATCCACAGATAGTTATATTTCTTAGTATATCACGAAATCTAAGTGGAGTAACTTGTGGTACAAGTGGTAGTTCTGGACTTTTCATAAACGTTTACGTTCTTAACAGTGATGATTATGAATATACATCATTCAGATAAAACAATCGAAAGTTGCAATGATATGTGAGTTATAATTTTAAAAAAATGGAAATAAAAGTCAATAAGAACAAATAATTTCCTCTTATTACAGATGGTGAAGTACGTCTTGTGGGAGGCACCTCGGATTCTGAAGGCCGTGTAGAGGTCAGATACAACGGAGGATGGGGAACTGTTTGTGATGATGGTTGGGATACACACGATGCCAGCGTGGTCTGTCGATCTCTCGGTTTTGCTGGTGCTCTTGAAGCTGTATCAAGGGCTGGATTCGGCCAAGGCACTGGAACCATCGTCCTTGATGGCGTCAATTGCTCTGGAAACGAATCGAGTCTCTTTGAGTGCTCAAATCTAGATCTTGGAGACAATTACTGTGGCCATTATGAAGATGCTGGAGTTCGTTGTCTAGTGTTTGGAGGTATGTTTAAGTGAGTTATTGTTAATAAAGTCATTTTGGTCGGTTCCGTAAAGTAGAACTTCGAATGTGATTTCTGTGTTCTATATGTCATGTTGAGTATCATGATAGTGATAATTCTTAGTTCATCGAGAAATCTGAGAGGAGCTACTTGTGGGGTCGATTTTATCAGAAAAAAAGATGTTCCCAATAAAAAAACTAATTTGGACATTGTTTTTTGCCCCTTATTTGAAGATATGTAAAAATATCAGTTTTTCGTATATTCTACAGGCTTTTTTAGGGTTTGTGAATTATGTGCTTACATTTTTCCCAGTTTCTCAGCAGATATTAATATTATCTCCACCAAATTAAAAAACATTTTTTGTAAAGCATACAACAATAGGTTTACAAAGTTATATTAATTTATTTTATTGTCTTCAATTATTAGTGACGTCATAAATTTGCATATATTTTGATATGCAATTGTTTGTTTAAAAACCTGTCAAAATCACTTGAAAGTTGTATTTTGTCTGCTATTATCATGAAATAAGTTTTCCAACCCCCTAATTTGGTATAAAATTATTCATTGATATGTTATCTGACGTTTCCCGCAAAAAGAAATCAGTATCAGTCAACTCGTATGCGCACCCACCCCCCCCCCCCCCGCGCATATTACGATTAATACATATAATGGGCCTTGGTGGGAGTGACTTGCTGTTTTTTCCTCTCGTAGGTTGATGCGGAAGACCTACTCTATGCGAATGATCGATGTCCACAGATAGTTATATTTCTTAGTATATCACGAAATCTAAGTGGAGTAACTTGTGGTACAAGTGGTAGTTCTGGACTTTTCATAAACGTGTACGTTCTTAACAGTGATGATTATAAATATACATCATTCAGATAAAACAATCGAAAGTTGCAATGATATGTGAGTTATAATTTTAAAAATAGGAAATGAAAGTCAATGAGAACAAATGATTTCCTCTTGTTACAGATGGTGAGGTACGTCTTGTGGGAGGCACCTCGGATTCTGAAGGCCGTGTAGAGATCAGCTACAACGGAGAGTGGGGAACTGTTTGTGATGATGGGTGGGATACAAACGATGCCAGCGTGGTCTGTCGATCTCTCGGTTTTGCTGGTTCTCTTGAAGCTGTATCATCGGCTGGATTCGGCCAAGGCACTGGAACCATCGTCCTTTATGGCGTCAGTTGCTCTGGAAACGAATCGAGTCTCTTTGAGTGCTCGCATCGAGGACTTGGAGACAATAACTGTGGCCATTATGAAGATGCTGGAGTTCGTTGTCTAGTGTTTGGAGGTATGTTTAAGTGAGTTATTGTTAATAAAGTCATTTGGTCGGTTCCGTAAAGTAGAACTTCGAATGTGATTTCTGTGTTCTATATGACATGTTGAGTATCATGATAGTGATAATTCTTAGTTCATCGAGAAATCTGAGTGGAGCAACTTGTAGGGTCCATTTTATCAGAAAAAAGATGTTCCCAATAAAAAAACTAATTTGGACATTGTTTTTTGCCCCTCATTTGGAGATATGTAAAAATATCAGTTTTTCGTGTATTCTACAGGCTTTCTTAGGGTTTGTGAATTATGTGCTTACATTTTTCCCAGTTTCTCAGCAGATATTAATATTATCTCCACCAAATTAAAAAAAAATGTTTGTAAAGCATACAACAATAGGTATACAAAGTTATATTAATTTATTTTATTGTCTTCAATTATTAGTGACGTCATAAATTTGCATATATTTTGATATGCAATTGTTTGTTTTAAAACCTGTCAAAATTTACTTGAAAGTTGTATTTTTTTTTTACGCGGACATGCAACCAAAGTTAATATTTTACGATGAACAGGGGAATGTGACTAAAAACGAAATTAGAGCAACTAACGGCTTAATGATTGACCATCATTGCGCTGATAAATATCGACCACTCTCTTGTACCAAGATCAATTTCTAAATTGCTGCTTTAAATCCTGTTCTAGTTCGATGATCCAAAATAAAACAATGGATCTATTTATTTTCATTTAAAAAGATATTGGTGGTCAAACGTTGACATTGATTTCCTTTCTTTCAAGAAACATACTGTGTACGTACTGATTTTATTTTGCTATATGAGAACATCCCCGATATCCCTGTGATTCCTTTTCAGTACGGCTCGTAGGAGTTCATTGTGAATCAGAAGGTAGAGTCGAGGTTTATCAGCACGGTTCATGGGGACCCGTATGTGATGACAACTTCACGGTAGCGGACGCAACCATTGTTTGCCAAATGCTCGGGTTACAAGTGGTGGAACTCTTAGACTGGGACGTCCCACCATCTGCAGTGTCCTCGATTAATGCTACGTTGAAGAATCCCTGGTGTAGCGGGAATGAGACAGATATCCGATATTGCATGCAAGAACCAAACGCAACTTGCAATAAATACGCAGCAGTCAAATGCAGCGGTGAGATATAATTCTTAATACAGGATTGCTCTTTTTTTACAAGGGGGAGTAGGGGGGGGGGGCTGGACGGGTTATGGGGACGAGATGATTTTTTATTTAATTTGAGCCAATGGCGTGCCATAATGTATGGTTACATTGAACACTTGGTACATGGTGTAGCTCTGTGAGACCATGTATTATGCCTAAGAACGCCATATAAACGGAATTTTGATCTATCATCGCAGAAGATCCTTTTCAAAATGATATGTTATATTAGTTTTACTGTAAATACTGCGAGCAGTGTACCTCCAAACGGAGTTGAAGTGAAATATGCATGAAAATTTATAGAAAGAGATAAGAACACCTGATGTGTCTCATGCAGGTGTACACAAGATACCATTATTGTTTTTAAATTACTAATCCTTGTATCATTACATTGTTGATGTTATATACCGTATGTTCTAATATAACGGCTCAGTAGCATTCCTGTTATAAAAGATATTTTGAAAAGGACGATTATTTGTTCTGAATATCCAGGTAATTTCTTTTGATACCTTCTCATTCCAACAGATCCCCTAATTCTTTGTGTCGGGTCGATTGGTGAGTATTTTGATGAAGACTGTCAATACATTTTGGGTCAATTTCAGTTCAACGGAATAATTGAGAATGACATGGCTTAGGTCAATATGATCAATCCGATATAAACAAAATTGTGGAAGAATATACGCAGCGATTCCTGAAATTCCCCCAAATCGATTAGAATTCTCAAAATTTACCACACTCTATCTTGTCTTCTCTTCGCTGATCTACACCGGTCATTTCCCTTACTAACTATGACAATGAAGCCTTTTTAAAGTAGATGTATCGGGTTCGAATGGATAAAACATTGGACTGTGGATCTTATGGTTTTTTTCGAATCCCGCCGCGGCACTAGTCTCCTTTGGAAAGATATTTCTCCAAATGTTTAACACCCGACCCAGGTGAGGTAAATGGGTACCCTACAGGAATTAATTCCCTGAAATGCTAGACCGCCTTAATGGATTTCTCTTTCTACGTGCCATATCCTGAGACGTTGTCGACCATGGAGTACCACAACTCTCTGTCCTTTATTCTATGAAGTAAGTCATTCTCCCCGAAATCAATTCCACTTTCAGAAATCCCACTCCTTAAGCTACTCATTCACAGAAAGCTCCTTCTACCACTACTCCTCCTCCCATCGATTCTTCCAGTCAGTGCAAGATTTTCCAAACCATTCTTCCGTATAACATGACTCCAGAAGCTCAGCTGTCGACCTCTAATAATATTCAGAAGCTTTGGTATCGTTCCTGGCATGGCAAATACCTCATTATTAGAAACTCTTTCTGTCCATGAAATTTTTAGCATCCTTCTCAGGATTCAAACTTTACAACTTTTCAGTCGCTTTCTTAGGTCAGTTGTCAGGATCCGAGCTTCACTTCCATACATCAGAACTGGATACATATATTAATTGAGTACGCGGAGTCTCGTTTTCATCGTCAGCTTCTTATTCTTTAAGATGTTTTCTAACATGGAGAAAGTTGATTTTGCAAGTGCAATCCTTCTCTTGATTTCTTGCTTGCATCTTGCATCGTCTGTAATTGTAGTCACTTTATTTGATTGATGTTGATCTTAAGAGAGCATGGTATTCTTCCCTTCTTTGAACTTACCATGCATCCCGTTTTCTTGTAATTTGATGATAATCCTCTCTTGTCACTTTCTCTGACAACAACATCCAAAATTCGCTGCAGGTCCTTAGCTGATTCTGCGATTAATATCTGCATACAGTATGTTTGTGATATTATGTCCTCCTAAATTGAATCACTTTCCTGTTCTAGGTGTTTAAGTATCAACTCACTGTAATAATTGAAGAGATCTGGAGACATGAAACATCCTTGCCGAACCCCCTCTTAATGTAGATGTAGTCACTTAATTATGTTTCCACTCTAACACGTGCTGTTTACTCCCGATACAGGTTTTGCAATAACTTTACATCCTTTGTGTCTAGTCCACTCTTGGTTAAGTCTTCAAATAACTGATTGTGTCTTACTTTACCAAATGCTTTTGTATAATCGATGAAACACAGGAAGACGTCTTTCTGCATTTCTACGGCCCTTTCTGCTAAAGATTGCAGAACAAAAACAGCATTTCTAGTTCCAGCATCCTTGACAGTTTGACAGATATGAGTTCTATACACGAACCCATTATTATTATTATCATTAATCATGAAAAAGAAGTAGGACGAAGTTTGTGATGATAAAGAAAGTCCAAGTTTGTAAAAGTGCACGAATATGAACAATATGATTAAAAACTGTATTAATTCAGACCAAAATAACCTTATACTTAAATATTGAATTAGTATTCGTCTGTTTATTTACTCAATATTGAATAAGTGTTTGTTTTTTTCTCTCTGGAACGGTTGTTATAATATCTGAAGACTTGCCTTTTAACCTTTCTTCTTTTCTTTGTTTTAGCGGACGGATACAGCGATGACTCTTCATTCCACCTGTCCAGTGACGTTGAACCAACAACGAGGGAACCGCTGCAGAAAATATATACTCAAACGATGACGACAGGTACGTCAACAACAGTGTCACGTAGACAGCCCTGCTAAAGCCGGGTTAATAATTGTAAAGTATGGGAACTTAAAGTTTAACAGAAATGAGTTATACACGAGCCCATTACTATTATTATCATTATTATTAATCATGAATAAGAAGTAAGTTAAAGTTTGCGATGTCTTAGAAAGTCCACGTTTGTAAAAGTGCAAGGATAGATCGATATGATAAAAACTGTAATATTCCAACCCAAAATAATATTGTACTTCAATATTGAATAAGTGTTCGTTTGTTTTTGTAATTGAATATTGAATAAGTGTTTGTTTGTTTTTGTACTTGAATATTGAATAAGTGTTTGTTTGTTTTTGTACTTAATATTGAATAACTGTTCGTTTTTTTTCTCTCGGGAATGGTTGTTACTGTAGTGACTTGACCTTAGGAGAACTTTGCATTAGTAGATATTATTGTCTTGTCTCTATTGTGTGGCTTGAAGTCTAGCCTGTTATTCCATTGTCACTTATTTCTTTTTAGACACCTGTTACATTACTAGAGTGCCACACATACTTTTTCTGGCAAGCACATTCCAGACCCTATGTATTGGGATGTGCAGCCACCTAATGTACTGGTAAAGCTTATACAGGCACATTACACTTGCTTGCCACACCTATTTCCATCACTTCTCCTGAGCTGTTCATATAGAGCACACGTATTCTAGAGAGTCTTGAGTCGATCTACAGCAAAGCTAATTCAGCTTCATCTTAATTTTTGTCCTATTTCTTCGCCTGTTTCTCTACTCGGTTCTGAGACCTTATTACTTTATAGAGATTATAAGTTTCTTCTTCCTTACTTAATTCGCAAAGAAGCGTCATTACTTTGTACATGGTCTTACATATTCTTTCTTCGGGTGCTGTGCAATATTTGAACTACTACCTGTGATATAATGAGCGCCTTGAGCAGTCTTTAAGAATGGATATATGCGCTTTATAAATTGACATCAGTATTATTATTAGTATTAGTATTAATATATGTTCCAAGTATCTGTACTCAACAGGTGTTTCTACGAGACAAGGTAGGAAAAAAATCATTTTCTATTTCTTTTATTTAGGTGATTAATTCCCTAAACTGGTGACCCCGACGTGATCCAGATTTTTGTTTCTTCTGTTGATCTAATCTACCTTAATTGTCATCGTCATTATCATGCCTGATACCGATAGCAATGTATCACCTAGTGAGGCTTCTGAGCCATCCCCCCCAAGTCTCATATGTTAGCTTAAAGCTTCCACCATTTTGAGCACATGATCATGATATTTGGTTTGCTCAAGTTGAGGCTCAGTTTCAAACAAGAGGAGTCTCGGTTGAGTCTACAAAGTTTGCTTATGTTGTCGCCTCGTTACAACCAGAGGTAGCTCTAGAGGTGTGCGATATTTTAATTGCCCCTCCCCAAACAGAGTCGTACAAGATACTTAAAGCAGCACTGGTTAAGCGAACTTCTGTCTCTGAGCAAAAGCGACTAAACAAATTGCTGACGAGTGAAGAGTTAGGGGATAGGTCGCCCTCCCAACTCCTTAGGAGAATGCAACAATTATTAGGCTCTAATACTTTGGAGACTAGTATACTGAAGCAATTTTTTGCAACGCCTGTCAATCAATGTGCAGTTGATTCTAGCTTCGACAAGCGATGATGTTAGCCTGGTTGAGCTGGCGGCATTAGCAGACAAAATTGTTAAAGTTGCTGGTCCGCCTACTGTTTCCCAAGTCTTACCTAGAGAGGTGATAGCGCAGACTTACGCTTGCGCCACTCCCAATGACTCTGGAGAAGTACATCGACTTTCTACCCAGGTAGCTCAACTGGCTGCTCAGGTGCAAGCCTTGACTTGTTCTCTACAGGAGGACCGCATAAGTCGCAGTCGACAGCGAGGCCCGAAGAATACTGGCCATCGCCAATCAGCTTCCCGTAGCCCGAGTCGGCATCAGCAACATGCTGGGGCTGAATGTTGGTACCACTGGAAGCAGGGCAAACAAGCCCAGAAGTGCATAAGTCCTTGCTCATACTCGGCAGGACGGAGCCGCCCTGGATATGTCCAGGGAAACGGGCCCGCCAAGGAATAGCGGCGACTTATGCACTTTGCACCATTCAACCCAGTCGCCTTTTCTTTGTTCACGATAAACAATTAGGCACACGTTTCCTTGTTGTTACTGGGGCTGAAGTTAGTATTTTCCCTCAATCCATGATAGGAAAATCGGCGATGGTAAGTGCAACAAATTTTCAACTTCAAGCTGTTAACAAGTCACCCATTAAAGGTACTATGCCCCTTTTGCAGCCGACCTCAAATTCTGTAGAACTTTGCAGGAATTAGAATATGTCATGTATGTCCTATCTGTGAAATTTAAACGTAAGCAGTGTCCTCATATTCAAATTATGCAAGGAAATCCGTTTACTTGCTAGACTTCACTGTCAGACACTATTGAGTGACTGACTGGCTTTTTCTTCTTTGGTAATAACATACATGGAAAGAATTGTAAAGGGTACATGAGCATTTGTCTACATCAATAACCCACTTCTTGTGATGGCCAAAATTAAACTGATTGAATCTTTGCGCAGCATAAAACGTATGACCATGCGGTACAATTCGTCGCTGTTTTCACGAAGTGACGGTAGTGAACAAAAATTGCATTCACTTTGCGTGACGATTTTCCTCACTACCGTCACTTCGTGAAAATAAGGAAGAATTGTCTGAAAATCAAGACTATTACTTTTGGGCTCTATAGCCCTAAAGTCGATTTGACAACTAATAGTCGTTATTTTCCCACTTGAAGACATTTTTCAAGCCCCACTTTTTTTAGGGAAGTTCTAAATTAGTATTATCTTTCAAATGCAGTTGGAATTTAACTTTTTCATTTTTTTGGCTTGCAAATGGGACAAAGTACCTCTAAGACTTTTTGGCCAAAGATCTTTCACTCTTGATCTTGGGTTGCGGCGAGTCGGTTGAGTCGGTACATACACAGCCATCATTAGCCCGGTGTATGTCAAGCAAGATACTTCGGACCGTTTCCACTCCCTTCTTCGCGAGTATCCTGACATCACCCGGCCAGTATACAAGCACTCAGAAGTCAAGCATACAACCACCCACCATATCCAAACTCTACCTGCTTCAGCCCGCCCTCGTCGGCTTGCTCCGGATCGGCAGCAGATTGCCAAGGCAGAGTTTGAACGCATGCTTGAACTCGGCATTATCAGACAATCTGATAGCAACTGGTCAAGTCCCTTGCACATGGTTCCGAAGAAGACACCAGGAGACTGGCGACCTTGTGGAGATTATCGCATGCTTAATGCTCGTACTATTCCTGATAGATACCATATTCCTCATTTGCAGGATTTTTCTGCGTCACTTAGTGGCAAGACAATCTTTTCAAAGATTGATCTCATCAGGGCATATGATCAGATCCCAGTCGAGCCTAGCGATATCCCCAAGACAGCTATAACCACTCCATTTGGATTATTTGAGTTTGTAAGGATGCCGTTTGGCCTCCGCAATGCAGCTAAGACCTTCCAAAGATTGATGGATAATGTCACTCGCGGTTTTCCTTTCGTATATGTTTATCTAGACGATATTCTGGTAGCTAGTACTACCAAATACGAACACGAGACACATCTCCGCCTACCCTTTGACCGCCTGCAAGAGTATGGAATCATTCTCAACCCCGCCAAGTGTCAGTTCGGATCACCTTTACTGCCCCCCCCCCCCACTCAGTGTTATTTAGGGTACGCATATGCTTGTTCCCTCTTTTTGAAAGCACCCCCTATCTGAGGACTGCCAACATTTCCGAACCCCCCTTTCGCGGGGTTTTCGCGGGGTTTTGCTGCCTTAGAGACCCTCCTAAATCAAGAAAAATGCTCAATGTACCCCCCTAAATTCGGAATAATTTCTCAGGAGTCCAAAGAGATGAGAGAAGAAAAAATTATCATCCCCTTTTTAAAGAAATCTCCGGGTGAAAAGTCAAATACACCCCTTTTTTTTACAATTCTCGGGCCGGACTTTGTGGCACAAAAAGTACCCCTTTACCGGACATTTTGGTAACACACATGCGGTTATTCCGACCCCGGAGTGGGGGGGGGGGGGGGCGGGCTTTACTGTCTTTTCTATGGCATAAAGTTGACTCGGAAGATCAAAAGTGAAAGCTCACATGGTCATGAAAGTTAAAAATCCCAGAAAATTTCTTATGAGTGTGATAACTTTTTGAAATTCATCAGATGTCACCTAAACTATTGTCAATATATATTATACAAGCATAAAGGCAGAGGCATATTAGAGACGCAGTCGCATACACTTTCGTCATGTTATATTGTAAAACAGTATCTGAGGAACTAACACTTCAACAATCTCTGCTTCTAGTTGGTTCCTCTTTTCTCGTGCTTTTTCTATTATATTTGTCGCTTCATTGCATATTTTTGTAATAAAATTATTCATTGTATGATGTTTTGCATGAGAAGTAAAAAAAAATCATTTCATTTCATTATAGTTTTCGCAAATAAAATTGTTATACTTTGTGGAACACGCAAATCAAGATTTACCATGGCCAAATAATATATGATAGGCCTATAATCGACTGAATTTTTTCTTCTCCTGGACACGCTTTTGATATGTGCATCTCATGCTTATTAATATTTGTGATCGATTGCCCACTATACAGCTACAACCCTGTCACCAATCAAAGGAGCTTTAGATAAAATATTGAATGTAAGTACATACATAATGTAAGTTGCGGATAAATCTACTGTGAGAAAAATGACTGGGCCTAATGCGTTTTCGAATCAGGGAATGTAATTTTATAATTTATATTTTAAAACTTCGACCAATCAACAACCACAAGGTACGCTATGTAAACACTATTAGATCTCTTTTTAACCACATCGGACTATCTGATTGCTATTATACCATTTACGATAGTCTACAATTTATGTCCTGGCTATACCCTGAATAAATGGTTTTCATTGACAAAAAATTACTCTTAAGGTTATCTTTCCCCAAAAAATTATTTCCTTTAAACTGACGAATTAAATATAAACATTATGTACATTCATTTCCTCTTTTTGTTTAAACACACTGCTCCTCGTTGTCATCGTTGACCATGATCAATGTACTTTAAATGCTGTAAATCTGTAGATGTCAACCTTTCGATATTTTTTATCTCCAGGATACTATCACGGAAGACAATTTAAATACCGTCTCAGATGAACTGGCGAACGTGACTGAGGATTCGAACAAATTTGATGTGGAAGATCTCCAGTCTGTCACAGACAAACTAAGTTCAATTGTTGAATTTGCGTCAAACCAAAACCTGACGGAAAAAGCCATCGCACAGGTAAACATACCTTTTAACAGTGAGTATCCATCAATTAAAACAAAGAACGGACAGCAAACGAACATAAATAGGAATGTAATTAGGCAGGAGTGCCTGCTTTGAGACGATACATGTCGTATTAAGTTTTGTTTAGCGGTTAACGATGCGGGAGGGGGTGGGGGACTAAGCCAGGTTTGTTCTATTTCCTGCCACGTTTGACTGGGCACCAGGGTCTTTAAAAAGTGTCTCCTTGTACCAAGTTTGGGATGACGGAATGAATGCGGGTCAAGCCTTATGCATGTCTTAAATCCTATCAAAATTTAAATTCAGCTTCGTGTTTCAGCGTTTAAGTGTCTAAACTGTTACACCTTACGTACGCTTTCAAAGGACATGGTTTCAAACCGGAGGATAACCATAGATTATTCGTAAATGGCCTAGACATACTAATTTCTTATGTCCTGATATTGACAATCTCTTTGCTCAATCGTTTATTGCTCAATTTATCATGCATAATGTATTTGTCTCGAACAGCACATAAATCACAAAAGTTTCCTTACCTCAAAGATGTTAGTAAATGCAAAGTAGAAAACATAATGTTGATAACAACCAGAGAAATTGGCTGTGGACTTTGACTAAAAAGGTAACATCCCAAATATACTTTGTCCATTTTGAATGACTTTGTAAAATGGCTCACTTCAAACAAGGGTTGCGAATAAAGCTCAGTTGCGTCATCATAACAAATAAAATATCATGAACTTTGCTCATAATAAGTCATTATTAGAGATTGATTTGACATTACACACAACCTATTCATATTCACTAAACAAATGTCAATAAGGTCTGCAATTGTTATCAAATTGAAATAGATGCATAATAATAATATTAATAATAATAGTGGCTACTTGTATAGCGCACAGGTCTACCTTTCGGTGCTCATGGCTTTTGACCCTATTTTGTTGCTTACGCCCAAACTTGGTACGAAAAGATTTTGCTAATACTTTTAGACAAGGCCGTTGCTCAGTCATCCGTGGTAGCATGGTTATGAATATAATAAATGTTAAAAAATGAGAGTGTCATTTTAATCGATGTCTACAAAATATCATTAATAAAGGTGTCTGTGAGTGTGATAGGAGCGGTGGATAATATCTTGAACATCCCAGAGAGTACCTTCGAGACAGCGAGCTCCCAGCAGGTCTCAAAGACAAATAACATATTGACTACAATCTCGATACTTACTGAAAATATTCAAAAGGCATCCACCAAGAACTTCACCTACAGGTTTGTATGAACCATAGTGCCATTATTAGTTCTAAAAGTCATGGGCACAATACATTCGAATCATTTAGGTGCCCCATCTCAAATACCAATAAATTGGGGACATACGTAACGTTTTACTCGGTCTTAAGATATCGCCAAGAGTATCAAAAATCTTACTAAATTTTGATGACACTGATGATTCCAAAGGCAATTTAAAATTATAAGCGGTGAAAACGGGTGCTTGTGTCTTGTTCGTGCACTAGAAGGGTAATGCTATTGGCGTTTTGGGGGAAAGTCCGTATATCCTGACATCTTTAATACAACAATGGCCCTTTTTTTAAGGGTCAGGTGAAATTCTTTTTTTTTTCCAAAGACTATTAACAAATTGAGATCTTGACTTACGTGCGGAGGATCCGCTTTATACGAATTGTAACAATATTCTATTATTGTTTTTTAGACAAAAGTATCTACATGAACATCATTTTAAACTTTATTTCTGTGTAGTGGATCAAATATTGTACTGGCAGCTGTCAAAGTAGACAGGAAAAAATTTCCCCTCACGACGGCGATAGGAGGAGCCATGGATGATGTCATAGACTTTTCAGCCAATGAAGGATCTCCGTCTAATGCGGCAGGTGTAACGTCAGTATCTCTGCCGGAAGCAATTCTCCCTTCAGAATCTAGTAGGTTCCCCTCATCCAAAAGTATTGACTTTTATGTATAAAATACAGTAATGATAAATTGCAATTGTAAAGTAAATTCGGACCAATGCAAACATGCAAAATAATTTATGATAAGAACCAATGCAGCAAAGGGAATGCAAGGTAATGCAGGTACCGATCAAACTAAATTTCGATCCCAAAGTGTGAAAATTATATTTATATGATAATCACGAGTGACAAGTCGGTCTAAGACAAACGGCCCCATATTAACTTGCATCATGTATCATGAAATAACATGATTTTTGTTAATCATTCCAGGTACTAACCAGGTAATATCCGTCAGCGTCTTTCTTCTAAACTCGCCCAAGCTGTTCCAGGGTAACAGACCGTCCTCATCCAGTACTCCATCGTCTGGAGACAAGCAGAATCAGCAACCGAAGACGGAGTCGGTTGTCGCTTCTCCTATCTTAACTGTGACCATTGAGGGAACTGATATCAAAGACCTCCCTGATAATGAATCAATTGTCTTTGTGTTTCCTGTGAACCAGGTAGGCCTATGGTGTCACGACATACATTCCTGAAGAAAGTAATAGAGAGGATGCACACAAATAATCATATAATATACGTTTCTAATTTTGAGATACAGAAGGTTAAAGGATGGAATCTACAAACACTATTAACCCATTGTTTACTGGAACCTGGTGGTCCCTGTGTTAAGTCTATGGGAATTAGAGAATTCAGTAGTCAACAGGTTAAGAGAAGACAGATTGATGCACTTCCGAGGTCAAAATATTCAATCTCCATGCCAATATTTTATATGTTACTCTCATTGCAAACTGAATAAATGAAATATTAAGATAAGTACCAACAAAAGCATAATCATTCCTAGAAAATTCTTTGCAAAAATTAATCCTTTTTTTGGTTAAATATCAACCTTTAACTCAGACATTGATTAGAGAAGAAAATGATGCTGAGGTGTCTGAACGTTGTGTGTATTGGGACATCGACTTGGGAGAATGGTCGGACGAAGGGTGTAGAACCGAGAAAACGGCTCTTGAAGGTATGGTGTCTTGCCGGTGCTCTCATCTCACGAGTTTCGCCGTTCTACTGGTATGCCAACGCTGAATCAATAATTCTAATTCCAAATAGCATGGTAAAAGTTTCATAAATCAGCAGCATTCTCTTGAATATATCCTAATCTATTTCAACATATTTATTACATGTATATATATATATATATATATATATATACAAATATAGTTTTAAAAAACACCCATGCATTAGAGTTATTCATTTTAACATGGCCAGTGGAAAATGTGGCAATGAATTTAACGGTTCGGGTGAACCATCGAATGGAGAAGATGAAAAGCGATATATTGCGAAAAGATTATCGAATAGTTTCATCCTCTCGTTTTAATGGTCTACCAGTTACACTTTATACATACCTTTTCGACGTTTATTTGGGGAAAAAACACTCTGGGCCGGTAGAATTGTGTCCGTTTCTAGATTACACTAATACAATATGTATTTTGTTATGTTTATTCTTCATAGGATATCAAAGGAAGCATCATATCTAAAGCTCTTGATGTAATCAGTCGCATCGGTTGTATAGCTTCGATTGTTTGTCTCGTCATAACCCTCTGCATTCTGCTAGGTTTTAGGTGAGATTTCAAAACTCCCTACCCTCATCAAACAGTACAATGCATGTTTTGAACATGGGGGCTATCAGAGGAACAGAAATATAATATAAAGAGATATCTAAAGATCACAGACAGAGAATAATTGCTACCATGTTACAGAACATTCGACGCCCTATTAATCTGAAAAGAGTCGTTGTATTTTGATGCTTCTAAATAACTGACAAAATTTCCAGAAGATGTCGTATTCGATTTTTCTGTAAAAATTAGAAACATGATATTCCAAAGAAGCCACAGTTGATACATGTTGTAACGTTGAGACAAAGATCTTCTTAATAAATAGTTGGGGGAAAATACAATTTCTCAAGGAATTAATAATTTATATCTACAAAGTGTGAAAGAGTAGCAAAGTACACATGAAATCTGCAAAAGCAAGTATTATTAAAAAATAAACTATATTAACACTTTCAAGAGGTTGCATCTTGTCAGAAATATTCTTTATCATCATTGGTATCATCTTTACTTCACAGGAAACTGCGCAGGAAACAGCCACAGCAGATCCTTATCAATCTCAGTTTCGCGCTGCTAGCTCTGTACGTCACTTTCGTCATCGGTATTGACCGACCAACCTCGAGGATCAGCTGTACTTTGGTTGCTATCCTATTGCATTACTTCTGCCTTGCATCGATTGCTTGGATGGGTGTAGAATCCTTCAACATGTACATGATGTTTGTTAGGGTTCTGAATTCATACATACCGAAGTTTCTACTAAAATGCTCTGTGATTGGTTGGGGTAAGTTGCTGGATTTAAAAGTAAAACAATTGTCATAAACTTTAATATAAAATTATTTCGTGAACATATCGCATATCGATTATTATTTATAAATTTCAGAGGAAAGGTCTCTAAAAGTGAACTCTCGGTTTCTCATTTCCAATGATCAACGTAACTGTTGTGCTATTAAACTATTTTGTTGACAACCATCCATGTTCCTTCATCTTTACTTTCTCAATAGTAACTTTTTACTTGAATATTTACACGAATTGATGTTACAAATGGTTGACACCGTGAAATTCTTGTCATTCCTCACGAGGCAGCAACATATGCCATTAGCTTACCTTATATAAACTCATATGTACGAAAAGGTTGGGGAACACCAGGATATTCCTATATTTTCTAACACGATATAAAAAGAGAATTTTTCATTGAATAGACAAGGGTTTAATCTGCTGATGATCATTAGTAGATAACGTAAAAGGGGAACGGGTTAATCATCTATATAACAAAGCTGGTTTACCAGTTTTGGTAGGGAATTCTTGCCACTTAATTACAATGCTACAGCTTCGTTATTCATTTTTATTTGTTGCATCTGAACATAAAATCATGAGCCAAAAATGAAACTAAAGGCTATTATTCTGGTTTCTCTCCCGACCTGTTAACATTTAACATGTCTTAATTTTGTGCGTATCCCCACTTTTTATGTGCTATTCTTTCCAACTGTGTTGTCTATTACATTTGTATACAGGCATTCCATTGGTTGTCGTCATAATAACAGTTGCCAGCAAGTGGACAGCTTACCAAAATTATGAATAGTAAGCAATTATTGAAAATTTGTATATTTTAAATATTTGCATATTTGTTTATAAAATTAAAACAAAAAATCCCACGAGAGTTACTGAAGCTATTTTGTTATAAAGAATATTTCATTTTCATTGTGTATCTGATTAATGTTCCAGTCAAATTCCAACGATTTAACCAGGTGGAAATTACGCAATGTGTGTGGGTGTCCGTGTAAGATGTGCGCGTGTGTGTATGTGTGCGAGAAGGTAATATTATGTTACTTTACAAAAGAATCCTCTGCTACATTCATGATAGTTTTCTTGCAAAAGACATCTACTTTATGACGGAGAATCATTGTCGAACTGGTGACCTATCATCTATAATTTCTTCTTATTTCCAGCTGTTTTATTCTCCCTGGATATTCGTTATACTTCGGACTGGTCCTTCCCATCGGACTCATCCTGTCATTCAATGGCATCATTTTCGCTATGGTACTCTACAAACTGAGTTGTGGTAGGATCTCAACCTCCAAGTCAAGCACATTGGAGTCAAAGAAAGAGAATACCATCAAAGCGCGCATGGAAGCCATTCGCCGCGCCCAAAACGTCGTCGCGATAGGCACGCTGATGGGTCTGACATGGGCTTTCGGGTTTCTGTCTTTTGGTGGAGGTCGCTACTTGTTCAACGCCTTATTCTCCATCTTTAACTCCCTCCAGGGAGTTTTTGTGTTTCTTCTCTTTGGCATGAGGCAACCAGAGCTGAGAGAAAAATTGACGATAACTAAGAATCGTTTTCTGCATGGTGCATCGTCTGCCCGTAGACGCAGTTCTGAATTTTGGGCATCGTCGAGTGGAGCACGTATGACCCAACGACCTTCTGACGTCACGTTCATCTCGACGGTTAAAACTGATTCTGTTGCTGAAGGTCAGGCTTCCACGTACTTCGAAAGTACTCTTGATACAGGTCCACCTTTAAATAAACAGTCGGATGATACTCTTCTTTAATGACAGAAGAGAAACAGACCTCTACGATTCTATAAAGTGCGACCCAGAAAAAACGAAACCGAGAATTGTCGATGTTTCATCATAACTTAATCACAATTATAAGTAATAAATGACACAGATTTGTAAAGCTTATACACAAATAAATATTTGGGTAATCTTACTCAGATAGGCAAACAAACTTTGACACTATAGTGACACACTTAACTGAATACATTAACTCATTAAATTGAGATTTATAACTCACAGGAATGAGTTTTGTTAATTTGACATTATAGTGACATGGCAAATGAGTATTTTAAATAAGTGAATTATTTAACCTAATGTTGTGAGTAAATCGATCCAACTCAACTAGTGAGTAATGCTTCATTTACTCAGTCAGTCAGGTTATATCGCCGTTCGTACGGTGAGTTTGTATGTTTGTCACTTAAAAATGGAAGTCCTTCGCCATGCACTACCTACACTTCGGTCGTGCACAAGAAGAGCTTCAAAATTTCGGCTCTAGATCTAGATTTTATATCTGATCGGTAGCCTTAACTTGTTTTAGAAAAAGGTCTGCATAAAATTCAAGGGATCCCTTTACTACTAACTGATTCAAAATTAAGAAAAATTAAATCTACTTACACTTATTCTGGGGATCGTCGGCCGCTAAAAACGTGACGGTCGGGTACGTATGTACGATCCAACGAATAAAGAGTCTGTGACAAATTAGGGAGCAAAGAGCCACTCTACACACTTTTTTTTACTCATCCGGTCACTAAAGTTGGAGAATAATCTATACTTTAATGAGTAAAAAGATTCCAATTGTTTGAACAATGACCATGCTAATTATGTATGTAATACATATGATAATATTGTGATATGCTTATGTGATGCTAGTGAATCTCTATATCACTGTAAAAACAAGGTTCATAATACTAGGCCTGGCTGGAATGAGCATGTGTCAGAGCTCCACTCTGCTGCTCGTGAGGCTCACCTACTCTGGGTTGAAGCTGGCAAAAACAGACAGGGACGGTTATTTGAGCTAAAAAAAGAGGGCCAATGCACGATTCAAGTATGCTCTCCGTTTTATTAAGAATAATGAGAAGTCATGCGGGCGGACTCCGTTGCTCGTAAATTGCAGGGTAAAAGTTATTATTTTGGAAAAAAATGAAATGTGTTAATAATAGTAAAGCGCCCCTTCCAACTAATATTGAAGGTATCTCTGGTGATGAAAAAATATGTGAATTGTGGTGTAGCCATTATAAGGATTTGTTTAATTGTGTACAGAGTACGGTGCAGGATGTAACTAATGTTGACTTTGATGTAAATATGGTTATCTCTCCTGAGGAGGTAAAAGAAGATATTAGAAAATTAGACGACAATAAGTCATGCGGTCTTGATACTATTACAGCTAAACATTTAAAGTTTGCAAGTCCGAAACTCATGCCCTTGCTTGCAATGTGCATTTCCGGATTTTTGATTCATGGTTTCTTACCAGATATTATGATTTCCGTTGTTTTGGTGCCGGTCCTTAAAAACAAAGCTGGTCGCATTACTAGTAAGGACAACTATAGACCTATATCATTGGCTAGTGTCCTGTCCAAAGTGCTGGAAAAGATATTGCCTGATCGGTTGGAGATGTAAATTCTTACTAAAGACAACCAGATCGGTTTTAAAGCCAAACATGGCACTGACATGTGTATATTTGCTCTGAAGAAAGTTATTGCAAGTTATCGTAGCAGAAATTCTTCCTTGTTTCTTTGTTTTCTTGATGCTTCCAAAGCTTTTGATCGGGTAAATCATGAAAAGCTGTTTACGAAAATGGCTGATAGAGGTATTTCTAAGTACCTGATTAGGATACTCGTGTTTTGGTATACCCATCAAACAATGATGCCTAGATGGGGAAGTAGTGTGTCTGAACCATTCCATGTCATTAATGCAGTTAGATAGGGAGGTATTCTTTCTCCCTTTCTCTTTAACCTGTAAATGGATGGTCTATCCGACAATTTGAATGCTTGTAAAAAAGGCTGTGTAGTTGGCAGTATAGTAGTCAATCAGTTAATGTATGCCGATGACCTCGTTATTTTTAACCCGTCAACTGCTGGGTTGCAGAGTTTGCTCAAGATTTGTTCTGATTATGGATATGATAATGATGTCAAATATAATGCAAAAAATAGTCATGTTATGATGATTAGATGTAAGGAACACTGTAGATTGGTATTCCCGGATTTTTATTTATGTGGAGCTAAACTCAATGTGTGTACAGAACAGAAGTCATGTATCTTGGTCATTTCTTTTTATACTGAGGATCTCTGTGATGATAAAGATATTAGTCGACAGTGTCGTAAATTATATGCTCAAGGTAATATGCTCGTTACGAAATTTCATATATGTTCTCCAGATGTGACGGTGGCATTATTTAGGGCATACTGTACACCTTTGTATACTGCGCATCTGTGGAGTAATTTTAAGAAGAGCTGTTTGCACAGGCTTGCTGTGGCCTATAATGATGCCATGAGAATGCTTCTTAGGGTACGTAGATACTTTAGTGCTAGTCGAATGTTTGCTGAGTTGAATGTTCTGGTCCGTTCGGCTGTTTTACGAAATCTCATGTATAAGTTCATCCAGAGAGTGGATGTCTCTGAGAATGGTATTGTAAAGGTATTAGTGAACCCCACGTATAGTTGCCTTAGGTTCACATCGGGCCTCTGGAAATTTTGGCTTAATAGACTGCTGACACCTCGGAATTGATCATATTTTGCATAATGTTACCAAGGATTATCCAGCCTCTCATGGTTGCAGTATAGTCCTTAGTCCTTGTTGCTTGTTATAATATCTAGTTATCTATTATTAGTATATTGTTTTAGTTGTTGAGCAGAGAGTGTTACAATTAAGTTACAACTTAATTTTGTTATACATATATTTATTTTAATCTTGCAGTTACAGGTACAGCTTAGAGTTAGATTGCTATAGGCCTTCTGTTATCAATTTTACAGATAAAGGTTACATGTTACAGTTACATTGTATATACGTAGTATAGTTAGTTGTTATATTCTTTAGTATTTGTACGGTTTGTTGTTATTATACTCATCATGTTTATACTCAGCTCTTTTCCCTATCTATATGTAACATATGTTTTATGGACCTCTGCCTTGTGCAGCTGAGTCTGAAATAAAGTTCTGAATTGAATTAAATTGAATTGAATTCATAATTTTGAGCTGCTTGTTGATAATGTTCTAATAGAAAAAGGTTATCAACAACATTCTTAGGTGTATATACTGTATAAATGAAAGATGTAACTGGAATGATCATGTGAACTGTATCTCTACCCCTATTTCTCGCAATATTGGTATACTATTTAAGCTAAAATATTTTTGGCCAACACATGTGCTAAAAGTATGCTATATAATACACTGGTTTTACCATATATTTCTTACAGCAATATCATATGGGCTACTCATATTAGTACAATACTAATCGTATATTAATGTTACAGAAACAAAGCAATTCGAGTTTGTACCGATGCAGGTTATCGCGACCGCACTGACCCTTTATTTGCCATGATAACGGCATTCTCCCCCATAACTAGTCATATTATTCCAACATAATGCTAATTTTCACTCCTACCCAACAAGGCATTCCAATGACTATCACCTATTTAACGCCAAAACAGCCTCAGCTCAAAACTCAATTAGACATTCTGGCCCTGATATCTGGAATGCACTACCCCCTGAAATAAAAGTCGATTATTATACAATGCTATTTAGAGCGGTGAAAATGTTTCTTATTGCGCATTATCTTTAAATCCACAATCAAAATTTGCTTACCATTAAATCTTCATAAGTTCCCCTCGTATACCCGTCGTTACAAAAGTCGATAATTTTCGGTACTCTTATTTGTTTGCTTCCATTCATTGAAAAGTTGAATTTAACCTTTCATGACCTGGTATGAATTAACGTATGAATAAAAAGTGGCCTACTTGGGATACTAACTTAACACTGTCTTCTATACAAACATTCCAAGGCTCCGACTCGCAGGCCTAGGTTTACAGTCTTTATAATTCAGCTCGCTGATCTCACATTCTTTTTCATATCGACCAGAAACCTCGCGAGTCTTTTCATTCTATAATGTATCCCAAGTTGGCCACCCTATATTCAAATGTGCATCTTCTTTTCGTTTTTGTTTTATCTACATAGGCCTATATCACATCAAAATCCAACTACCACATACATCTGTGAATCTTAATGTACACCACCTCTTTCTTTTCCCCTCTTTTTCTGTCTCTCTCTCTCTCTCTCTCTTTCCCCTTTTACCAATATTTTCCATCCATATTTGTACTATTATGTATCTATTGAGGGTATTCATGCTTTGCTTACTTTGTCAACCCTCCCATTTGATGTTCTCAATTAGTAACAGTCAGCCTTACTTTATTCTATATATATTCTTTTGTCATGTGTAAAATTTGCAATGTTTTGTTCGTTATATATTTGTAAAAATGCAAAAGAAAAAGAAAGTCAAACAGAAATAAATAAATCAAAAATCAAATAAATCAAAACAGGAAAAGATATGACTCTTGGTTCTATAACTACAAAAAAGATTTATTCAAAATTAAGTGCAAGGGTTACTCAAGAACCGTCAACTATTTATATCTGGTCGAATGTTTTGCATTACCAGACTATTTCAATTGGAACAAGTTTTTATAGTTCAAAATGTGTAAAATTGGAGATAACATGATTATAAGCAATTCAATTTTAAATTTCTGTACAATATTTTACCTTCAAAAGAAATTCGCTAATATGGCGTGTTCTTAATGACAGCAAGTGTAGACAGTGTGAGGAGGTTGAAACAACTTCTCATTTGTTATACACTATAAACTCGTTAGAACATTTTGGAAAATCCTTTAAAAAAATTATATCACCTTTTCAAGATAAATGTTTATATAAGTGAAGAACTTCTAGTAATAGGCTATAAAATGAACGATGTTACTTGTTCTTTTTCTTATATTTATATATATATATATATATATATATTCGTTTTAATGTTTTGTAATACTGCAAAGCGCCAGCGGGGGGGGGGGGGCGCATATAGTGACGCAGTGTCGCTTGACGTCGTGTCCTGTGTGCGTCCTTTGCTGTTAATTTGCTGTAAATGTCTTATCCTCATATAGGTCTTTATACAAACAAAATTCGTGTACATATTTGTTTTCCCGTTAATGTTGTTTTGTTAATTTTCTCGATATACGTGTCATGTTTGGTGTCCCAATCACAAGTTTGTTTTCAAACTTCTTCAGGGGCTCCTAATCCTATGTTTTTATATTTTCATGAATTATTATTGTAAAGGTATTTTTATGGTTGAATAAATAAATGGAAATTGAAATTGAAATGTTAACGCTTATTCGCAACATAGCACAGTACGCAGTATATTGAAACTTTATAAAGTGTATATTTAGGTATTTAGGTAAAAAAAAATACAACGACAAATCTTTATGGTTTGAATAGTTTATAGTGAAATATTATTTTAAAAGTGTAAGTAATTAGAAATTTGGAAAAGTAGGTGAAGTTCAATTTTTTTTCAAATCATTAGTTGCTGTAAGATTTGATTTTGTTATTGTATGTTATTATGTTATTGCTAATAAATACATCTTTACAAAAAATGACCTTTAAAATAAAGATATTTATTCTGGAACTTTTTTTTTCTTGTCTAAAGCTATAACAACCTAAAAAAAAAAGAATTTTAGGCCAATTTATTGAACGCTGTTTTATGGAGAAAATTCCCAACTCTACTCAATGCATCTTCAGTGCACACATTACAACTATGTGTTATCCCTCTGTACATTGAGCTTCTTTGGTCTACCTATATTTGCTAATGGACTGGTCCGCACAGTCGCCTTTGTGTGGCTGTGTGTGTAGTTGGCGCGTAGGGTCATGAGACGTACCTGTGCGCGCAGAGCAAAGAAAGACAAGCACAGATCCGCTTTAGTGGAATTTCGACCTGAAACTTTTCCATGTGCTTGGGCACCGAGCGTATTTTGGTGCCCCGCAGATCACCGGCCGGCCGCCGGGCAATTTCTTTAAAAAAATTAGCCGGTGGCCGGTGGGATACCACTCGGGAATCGATGGGTCATCAGTCGGTCACTGCCGGGACGCCGCCCGAAAAATCTCCCCGATTTCGCCCAGTTTTGACCTAAAATCGACCGGCGACCGACGGGAAATAGACAAGGTACCGCCCAGGCATCGCTGTGGTTCTACAGCATGCTCGACTTCTCAAAAAAATCGTTAGGCGATGCCTAAATTCTAGCGGCGACCGAGCATGCTACAAATCGGTCGGTCGCCGCTCTGAGTTGTTGCTGAGCAAAGGTGGCGACCTTCTTCTACTCGGGGCCTCTATTTAACGTCCTGTCCCAGAGACGAATAGGGTGGACAAATTTTAATGTAGCGCCTTTATCTGACAATCAGTACATGACATCGGATTATACTTTTATCTAATGCTTTATGATTTCTCAAGACACGAAAGCTCATGGTTTTTGTTATTCTTCTTTCAATAGCATTTATTTATAAACTGAAGACTTTCATTTCACATTCAAATAAAAATATCAAACAAAATCAAATAAAGTCTAAACAAATTTTTACCAGTACATTTCTTGTTAACTTCCAGTCTTTTTAGTAGTTCACAAGCAAATACAAATTCAAATTGGATTTTCTATTATCAACAATCTTATAATTTCGTAACAACTGTCCACAAAGCTATGGTAATAAAATCTTCTATTTCGTTATGTTCGCTATTTTTTTAATGAAAAATCAATGTTAATGACAATATGCTTGTGAAAAACTGTTTTAATCAGCCAGGTAACATATGCCCCAATTTGTTTTATTTAATTTACACGTAACCAAAGCATTTATAATATCTTTATCTTCTTGACAATTATGGTATTTTGCATCTTCACTCATTCTCCATTTACATATATTACTTTCCACAGGCAATACGCTATTCAACACTGTAAAATTGAATTATTTCTATTTGTTTTCTTTTACTTGTAATAAATCCCGTTCAAAACAAATCTTTCATTTTGTATTCATCCTTTTAAAAAAATCCCAGAAGAAACAACATCGTGTATTTACCCCTTCCTGCTGTATCAGATGGTTATGTTAATACCACAAAATAAAATATGTTAAAGGTAATACAAAGTTTTGGTATGGGTTCATGAATTTGGTTCAAATGAACATATTGGAAGCATTTACGATTTTACCATATTTAATGATCGTTGTCGCGCTTGAAATCGAGTCTAAAGTGATGAAATGTTAAATAAAAAAATCGTTATATTGTAAAGCACCCTCTCAAAAGTGATATTACTTTAGTCTTAAAAACATGTTTCGTGACTACAATCTACCGATTTGCTATATCCGTTTGGAACTGCATATTCTGAGATTTCCATGGTCGCAGCTACCATGGAATGGCCCAAGGCGCTATTTAAAACAAAAAAATATAACTTTGACTGCTAATTTTGTCCCTGCTTTTATTAAATTAACATTATGTTTATATTGAGACGTTCTGTAGTTTAAATATTTAGAAAGATGTATATTAAGTATTTTGATGTTCTTCGTGATTCACAGAGTCGTTGGTTAAAGAAACATGGATTTTTTTTATTTTTTTTAGTTTTTCCTCTTTTTTCGTAAGTCCCCAAATTTTTTCTTTTAAAGATTTTGCCAATCATTGATTTTATGACGTCACGATCATAGTAGATTGCAGTACCGTAGTAGCCCCATATATCCGCGTTCGTGGAATTTGAGAATAATCATCGACCGGAGTCGAGATAATTGCCCCCTGAAGCTTTCTCTTTAGGATGAGACTTTTTTCTTCATTCTTTATATGATGAGCTAGTCATAATCTCAGTAACATAATTAAAATAAGGCAAAACAGAATTAAAAGATACAAAATAAACTCCTAATGCAAGGAATAACCGGCAAGGTTGTGTATACATTAAAACAGGTCAAGACAGTGAATGAAAAGAATGGTAGAAGCTTTGAATTTGACCCAAATTCACATTTATTTAATCTAGGAAAGCTTACAATTTAGGTGATAATAAATACCACACATTCAATATTGTAGCAGTAGAAAAAAAACCCGTAATTTAATGGAATAAGGAAATTCGTACACAAATGCATTAGCACTAATAAATGCCTAGAATTACCTGGTCATAATGCGTAGTAACCCAAGCAATTTAGTTAGCAATGCATCGCGGTTCACGAAACATCAAGTGAGTCTATATAGTGATGAGGTCAAGAATATAATAACATGAAAGATCAAACTGCATAAGATTACTTCGACAAAACCACAAAGGTAATTGTTACACAGTTTTCCGAGTGAAATGATTATTTCAAGAGGCCAGCATTGGATCGTGTACACCAAGCTGCTCATGAAAAGAGAGAGCGAATTAGATTAGAAAGTGCCCTGAGATAATAATTTAGCAATATGCAATTCGTTCATACATATTTAGAAAAAAAGTAATTTGTTTTTATACATTAGTAACTAGAACCTGCATAAATGAAGATTACAATTGGAGAAAAAGGGCTAAGAAGGACTAGGGAGGGCACACAAAATTTACTAGACATGATAATTTCAGTTTCAAAGCAATTTAACGATGATCCGAATCCAAACCATTCCAAAAAGAGGGACCGCTATAATTTTTTTTTTTGAAGGGCAAAAACTGTCCTGATTAGGTGGAGATAGAAATTATTTCTGTGTATTGTGGGATAGGAGTGAATAACGTTGTATATCTAAATGTATTGGACAAATACCGTCCACAAGACAATGAATAAATAATTATTAAGACCCTAGTGCACACATCATTGCAGCTGTGGAAGTTTTGTTTTCATTAATTTTGCTGATTTTCAAGGTGTTCTATCAAAATAAGTTCTAGGTGATAAAGGTTTATTTCATCAGAAAATCAATAGAAAAGTTCTTTGGTAACCTTTAAGACAATTAATGTGTAATAAAAATTGTAATTCTATGAAAAACAAATTGTGAGAATATGATTACCCCCCCCCCCCCTCCCTCTTCCATTAAATGCATTTTTAAAAGTTGTTCTTTATATTTTGCAAATTGATTATTCAATCCACTTGACAGTTAAACCTATAGAACCACGGTTTGATAAAGCATTTGCGATGCAGAAGAAAGCCATAAAGTATTCTTAGAATAAGATGACACATTTCAAAAGCTGACAATCGGCTAAAGCTAAAAAACAGTAAAAGAAGACAATGCGCTCAAGTAAAACCTTTCAACTACAGTAACCTATTATCAAAATAATTATCAAAAACCATCAATATTGGAAAGTTTTAAATATGTAAAAACTATCGATGGTAAGAGCATGTATCACATGATTTTATGTTACTAAAGTTCTCAAAGTACGCTCCAATGAAAACAAAATCAAATCATTTAACAACTTAGGGACCCTTTAAAATGACGCTTTTGGGCATGAGGGACATCGTTACAATGTTTTAAGAAATACAATGTGACCCTAACTACATGTAGAAGTGATAAATATATCGTTATCGTCTTTTTTTTGCTTTTATATGATAACCATTTTCATTTTTTATTGTATAAATGATGTATTAGTATCATGCGTTCGGATTGTATCATTTTGTGATTCACAATTCACATAAATATTTGGAACAGGCCCAGGGGAAATCTTGCAAAAGGTTTTGTTATTTTCGAACAATATATTTTCCTTTACATACTTGTTTTTTTAATTTTCTCAACTCAATCGTCCGTTACGTCTTACGCATACTTTTACATTAGTAGTAGTAGTAGTAGTAGAAGTAGTAGTAGTAATAGTACTAGTAGTAGTTAGTAGAAGACTTTATTGTACAATTTTTTTTAACAAGACTAAACTGCTACATTCTACAAAACATCATGTTTCGACCCGGAAGTAACGATTATAACCGCTTGTCTTCCGGGGCACATTGAAGGCAGTGGTTCAGTAAAGCTAGTGTTTTTTTCCATTTGGATAATCGTGACGTCAGAGGGTCGTGAATCCATGCGCGCTTCACTCGATGAGGTCCAAAAGTCTGAACCTCTACGCGCAGACCTTACACTCTGCAACAGTCGCATCCGAGTCGCCCTTAGTTTTTCTTTCACTTCAGGTTGCCTGATGCCAAAGAGGAGGAAGACAAAGACTCCCTGGAGAGAATTCAAGAATGCGAAGAGGGCACCGAATACCATGCGACCATCACCTACAGCCAGGAAACCAAAGACCCAAGTGAGACCGAGCAGCGTGCCGATTGCCACAGCATTTTGTGCCCGGCGAATGGTTTCGATCCGGGTTTTGGCTCCCCTTTCTTTCTTGGACAGCCTTGTACTGGTGGCGGAGAAAGTCTTCCTACCACAGGTTAGCTTATAGATAACAATTGTAAAGGTGATGCAATTACAGGTGAGGATCAGACCGATTGGCAGAATCAGTCCAAAATATAAAGAAGGTCCGGGTAAAAGGAAGCAGCTGAAAGAAAAGGGGAAACAAATATATATTATTTGCCACTGATCAAGAAATATTTATTGACCTTTTCCATTACAGGGGACATAAAAACGAAAAATATGACATTTGAAATGAATTTGCTACTCTGAGAATTTAACATAATCATTATAACATGAACTCAATATTAAGGCAACCCATTCATCTCTTGTTTGGATCAATGAACTTATGATCATCTACGCATGTTAAGCATCTCTGTAATATTGACTTTCTCATTAAGACTGCGCTTGTTGGCTTGTTAATGTAACTTTGAATGCAAATTATGACGAAAGACGGATCAAAGGTGTTTTGGAGCGAAAATATTTAAATATATATATGTTTATGAATGTGTATATATATATATATATACATATATATATATATATACACATTTATAAACATATCCCTAGTACATATGCAACCAATTTACTTTTATAAGTAGGTTGCATTGAAACAGATTATTATGCTTTCATCGTAGAAGTGAAAACCACTGTGACAAAATAGAGAGCGGGATAGGGAAAAACTATTAAAAGTTAAAGTAAAAAAAAACGATTGAGAAAATGAGCTGCGTGCACCTAAGAGAATGAAGGTAATACGTTGTGGAAAAAGAAAGGAAATGGAGAGTACACTATTAAAGGGGAGGGGAGTTTTTCACCCAAAAAATAACAACACAAGTCATCTTATTATGTTGTTATCTCTTTTTAAGTGGCTGCCTTGGCAGGACATATAGAGTGATATGTGATTATACTGCATCCATAATATAAACTCGTTAGTAATCAAGATCAACATGGTGACGGTGATGATTCATAGTATTGATTATGCGCAGTATTTCGACTAAGAAGATTACCGTGACCCCTTTTTTTTAAATCGATTAAATCAAATCTTGTATTCAAGAGACAGTGGCAAGTCATGACTAGATAAGACTTCATGAAAGTTTGTGACTGACATCTGGTTTATTATAAATAAATCGCAGAATAGCATGATCTATGTAAATCAAGAAACAGTATTGGTATTCATACTTTCCTATTATATTTTTCCCGCTCAATAGAAATATATGAAACAAACTGTATTTTTGACGCAGCAGTAGAAGCGGCAAAAGAATTGTCAAAGTTTCAAAAATTAAAATTTGTTGCTGGTTGTCATTGTTCTCGAAGCTTTGGAGATTATTCAGCCACTAGTCGTTAATCATTCGCCGATCAGCTACCGACAAATGTTCTCAACGAAATATCGCCCGGTAAAAATAGGTAAGCACTCAGAATCAGGCCTTGTTCAGGCTGTGATCAGGCGGCGATCAAGGGGCGATCAGTCAGCAATCAGTGTGAGACCTGTCGCCTACCCTTGTGGCCAAGATGAACCTGACATTTTCCACGACCAGTTTGATCGGCAAAAGGTTTTCGATGCAGCCACGTAAACCTCCATCCGACCAAAGCTCTGCCTGGAGACCAATGCCGACCACCGACAACCTTTTTAAGATAGCCAAACACCTCTCTACGACCTCTGACAACCAATTATCGAACAGTGGTTGTCCGAAATCGTACCTCTAGTGTGACTTAAGATTAACACGCCACATTACTTTCTAACACCTGGTTATATCTGTGTAAAACTGATATGAAGAGACGCACAGTGCTTTCATGAAAAGCCGAGAACAAATTGAGCGTTTTGGATTAAGCACAAAGCAACGGAGGTCTTTGTCGGGTTAAGAGCAAAATTGTTGAATCTTTTTTCTTACTATTCAGAGTTTTGGTACGCTGTCCATTTGCTGGCAACTGTTGCTATGACGACCATGAACGGAATGCCTGTATTTTGGAGTATAAATACCATTCAGAAATGTCAATAAGTATAATATAGTGATAGGAGAAATGACTGAAGCAAAAAAAAATGAGTGAGAAACAAAGATTGATAATACATAACATCTTGGATAGCGGTCCTGGATACGATGAAAAGCGTCCACCTGGTAGGTTCAGGCTGAGATCTTCCCCGAAAATTTTTGTTAAAGGCAAATAGGAAATATAAGACATTATAATGTGTGTGCCCTAATGTGAACTATAACACAAAGTTCACATTTGCCTTAATTCATATGCCATAGGTAGCACATACTTCAATGTGTGTTTTCAAGATCTACAACATACAAAACAATATGATCAATATTACAAGCATGCGGGCTCATTAATTCAATAGATCATCTTCGCAATTTAATCATATTTAATGCATAAATCTTTGTGCCATGTTAATTATTTAATTCACCTGTTACAATTACTTACATTTCAATAGTCAGCGTGCGAATTGCATACATTAATTGTTGCTGGTAGGAAAAACCTTTGAAATAAATTCGTTTGTAACAGGTGAAAGAAAACATTGTAATGAGCACTTTAACAAGATTTATGGATTAAATTTGATTACATTACGGAAATGGCCTATAGGTGGACGAGAGATGTCTTTTCATTGACAAAGCCACCCTCCCCCAAATTTAAGGGATCCCCCAAGTTGTCTGCACTTTAATTTAAACCCGTCTGACACCATCGTCTGAGCCAAAAAAGTTTTGCAGATGATCAAAAGTGCTGAAAAGTTCTAAATACATAATGTAAATAAATTTGCTGCGACTCCTTGAAAACTTTTGAAATTACTGACAAATACAAAATATTCTTAAAAAAAAGGGGTGGGTTAGTTTACCCTTTAAGATGTTTTGCCACTTCCGCCATTATTTTCCTCGAATGTTAACAAAGCATCTAGAATCTTGGCACAAGATCGTACGACATAATGCGACCCTTATGGAATAGGAACCTTAAAGGAAATAGTCTTTGAGACGTGAATAGTACTCAAGTTTAAAAAACATAGTCATATCCACACGTCATCTTGCATAGATTGCAACCAGGGTCTCTCAATGCAGTACATACTTGTGTATTTGGATACGGGAATATCAAGTATATTGTTTATTGTCTCATATGTGAAGAATCGACACCTTACAACAATAAAACCTTTCGAATCACATAAATACGGTTTATAAAAATAACATTTCAAATCGGTGAGAGTAAACTTACACATTTGCGGGAGCTGGAGCTTTGTGTTTAAGTCATCAGAATATCAAATGAAAACAAACTGTCGGTGAATTTTAATACCGAAAGAAATCGAGTTTGGAATAAAATCAAGCATTATCCCCCACATATTTACAAAAATCAAATGATAATTCATTTTTTGGAGTGCCTTTCTATTATGCCTTGGAAAGCAGTTTATAACCTTTCTTTTGGAAATTCAAACGATTAAAAAAAAATGAAATAGAGCCTTCGACCCACCCCATCCGACGAGACAACATTTAAGGAGTAACTTGGGTATGTAGGTGTCCATAACCCTGACGAATGACATGTACATGCTGAAGGCTTCTACACCCATCCAAGCAAGCGATGCAAGGCAGAAGTAATGCAATAGGATAGCAACCACAGTACAGCTGATCCTCCAGGTCGGTCGGTCAATACCGATGACGAAAATGACGTATAAACATAGCAAAGCGAAACAGAGATTAACGATGATCTGTTGTGGTCGTTTTCCACGCAGTTTTCTGTGGGAAGAAATCCACGAACACATTATTAAAGTCAACGCGTTTGTCTACAAAACCCCTTTCTCGCCAAAGAAAATGAATTATCAATATTCATCTAGAGTAAAATCTACCATATTTATTGGGGCTATAGGCAGAAAATGAACGATATTTTATCAAATATATCGGTGGTATTTACAGCGTACATGTGATTTTACCCACATTAAATCAGTGTGGGATACTTTGTAAGCCAACTGCTCGTATATTCTTCCATATTATTGAACTGTAGTATGGGAAACTATGTACACGGCTAGGCTCTATGTATATTTTGGAAACAAATTAAAGTAGACTTTGCAATATGATTTCATGAAGTAGTCTCCATTATAACATGTTAATAAGATCATATTATTAAACTATACTTTACAGTACCAGGATTTATTTTGAAGGTACTATGCGGCCAAAAAGTAATGATTTTTATAGGATTTTCACTATTTTTATTGGATTTTCAAACTCTATATGGAACATTTCCATGCTAGTGGCGGTCCTAAAACGCCAGAGTAGACGATTAGAATTTTCTTTTAATTCTAAAAAAAATTGTGGGGGATTGTAGTGTGAACGTATGGAAAACGGAAGGTTAGAGAATGACAGTAACAGCTGTAAAAACAAAGAGGTAAAAGAGTGGAGACGGCTCGGTGATAGAGCCTTGGTTTCGAAACTGGGAGGACACGGCTTCTAAACCAAGTGGTTTCGCTAATGCCCTCTATTAAGGCATGTATACGGTTAGTTAGTCCCTCGGAAAGGTCTTAAAGCCGTCGGTCTCCTTGGTGCTTACTTACAAGCATAACACATGCTTTCTTATAAATCAAGTAAAATAAATAATCAAACCAAAATATGGAGGACGTCGTGCTAAGTGATGTTGCAAATGTCATGCATGACATGAGCCTTTGGGATGAAACGCTTAAACTGACAAAAAGTCATATTAACTTTAATCAGCTGGGTTCAAACATTGCTTACCTAAAACCCAGAAGAATGCTAATGGTCAAAGACAGACACACAATTGAAGCAATGCAACCGATGCGACTGATCAGATCAATAACTTGAGATTTAAGACTTCCCTCGATATCCTGAAAATGATAAAGAATAACGATTTGAATTACTATATCTACAATAGGATTCCCCTTTCCAGAAGAATTTTAGATGCATTCCGGTATATATACGATGGACCAAATTAAACTTATTCAAATGTTTGCTGTTCGTATTTGTTTACGATAGCAGAATCCCTACCTAAGAAGTTCATCAACACAAAAGAAGTTTAAACAGGAAAAGATTGGGAGGAAAGTTTAACTCCTTAAAATTCGATCGAATATATTTACATGTAATGGTATGTTTGTGACTATCAGATTCGAACAAAATACCCAAAATATCATTTTTGTCTCTCATGGCTCCCGAAGGTCTTACTAAACATTGTGATTGTAAAAAGTAGTTTATTGGCTATTAGTTTTGTTATAAGTCAAGAAAATAAACCCATAACAAGTTGAAAGAAAAAAGTAAATCTAGTAGTGTATAGTACAGACTAAAATCAAATACATGTATTAATGTGGGCTTTATAGTGCCTAGGTACGCATAACTATGACGTGATACATGCCACCATAAGTAGAGAAGTAGAACATGCATACAATTGCCTTATATAACGTTGTAAACGACCATTGTCTTTCATTCCATAACTTCTTGAAATATCTATGCTCAAAACTGTTCAACACTCAATTATTTCCCCTTTTGATATGATTAACATATGTTCACGATCAAGATGTCTGTATCAGCAACATGGCTTCACGCGTTAACAAACGAGAACATGAGATTTGAAATGGATATTATACCAAAAGAACAGCGAAGCTTGTGAGATGATTACACCGACAGGCCACCATGTCTGTAAAGGTAGTTTTGTCGATTTTACACCCTTCGTCAGACCATTCTTCCAAGGTGATGTCCCAAAACACACAGCGCGCTGGAAGGTTGGTGCCATTGTATTTTTCCGCCGAACTCTAATACAGGTATGCATAACAAAGAACAATTAAGGCGTTATTGTATCGCAAAAACAATTCAGTTAACATTGGTATTCTGAGAACTACACCATCCTAATGACTACACAATTGCAATTTTTGTGCTTCTCTGTCCAAACTGTTTGTGTTACACATGTGATCTGTGACTACATTCTTTCATTACCAAAAGTGGCACCAAAACACAATACATCTACCATTGCTTAGATTTGGCTTTACAGGGCTATAAGTATCGACCCCTGTGTAATGGAGTTTTTAATGGGAATTTCTATTTAGTACATGACCTTATCATCTGTTGAATAATTTACCCTCATTACGACATATGTCTTAAGCTTATCTTCATCATTACAACAAACGTTTTTGGTGAGAAGTGCAATTGACAGCTCCTTCATCATGAAATTTAGTACAAATTCGGGAGTTATTAAGTGGTCGTTTCAATAAAAGAGAGTCTACATAAATATACCTGATTCACAGGAAACACAAAGGTAATTGATTCATTATCAGGGAGGTCTTTGATATCAGTTCCCTCAATGGTCACAGTTAAGATAGGAGAAGCGACAACGGTGATCTTTGGCTGCTGATTCTGCTTGTCTCTAGACGATGGAATACTTGATGAAGATGGTCTGTCACCCTGAAACAGTTTGGGCGAGTTTACTAGAAAGACACTGACGGGTATTGCCTTACTGTCATCTAAAGTTCAAACACAGTGTTGTATGCGTTCAATATACGTGAATGTAATACAAATGCAGTCTTTACAAGAAATCTTCATTTCGGGGAAAACTTACTTTTTGAGTAATTGGTCTCAATGGAATGTCAGGGGTTTCCCATTTGACCGACAGCCCACGAGACCAACATCTACAAATGGGTTCAACACGACCTTTGTAACTTGACAAGTGTGGGTGGGGGGAGATTGGGTCTATCATTAGATCGTTTGCTTGTCTTTTTATTTGTTTCTTAGCTTTTGGTAATATGGTGTCTTGGTTATTCTGATCGCAAACATTTCTTCTTAACTATTGCAACATTAATTTTTTTTTTATGTTCCAATTTATATTATATAAAGTGAACTGTACCTCAGAGTTATGAGAATAATGTTGATTTAAGTTTTAGTCTTGAAGCTGTAGTTTTTCGAAGAAAGTAATGTCAATATCGAAAAAGTAAAGAAGAAGAAACAAACCTGGCACTAAAGGTAGAATTGCAGATGGTAAAGTAACATATGCTACGTCCGCCATATTAGACATAGTTCCTTCATCGGTTGAAATATCGATGACGTCATTCCCGGCTCCACCTATGGCAGTTCTGAGTGGAAAACTCGTCCTATCAACTTTGACGACTGCTAGTATAATATTTGATCCACTGTATTTAGAAATAAAACAATCAGAATGTTGGTGGGGGGGGGGGGGGGTTACACACGTGGGTATTTGGGCTTATTTAGGTATCAGTGGACGTATCAAATTGATAACATGGGTTATAGAATGTAGCCAATGTATTTGGTCAAAAGACATCACGTGACCGTGCACCTTTCTCTCTTACTCCACCCGGGTGATGTACATTGGTACCTGGCAGGAATGAGTTCCTTGAAATTCTACCTAGAGCGCCGTAATGGCCGCTTTGCTGAAGCAAGGATAACAATCGGGCAGCGCCAGGAGCGTCACGATGTGGCGGACGTGTGCGTTTTATAAGAAACCATTTTTATTATTATCATTATTTATTACCAAATGATATTGCACGGATAAGATGCGCGTATGCTCATCTATGTCACGTTTGAAAATAATACCCAATGACATTAGGCCAGTTTACAAATTTAAAAATTCAGCTGCATTTAAACTGCAACTACGAGGATGAAAAAAAAAAAAAAAAAAACGGGTGCAGATTTCTGTTACAATAGCAGCAACGCAAACGTTGCAATTCTGCACCCAAAGTAGTGTAAGAATTACACCCTAAGGGGTGCTGCTATTGTAGTAAATGTCTACACCCCTAAGAGTGCACGTATATGCTCCCTTTCAGTGGCGGATCTAGGGTGAGGCCGCGGGCCCGGGCCCCTTCCCTTGGGAAAAAAACGTGTAAAAACAAGTTAATTTTACCTTTATTTTGGAGATGGGCTCCCTCCCCTGGCGCTCAAGGGGAGGGGGGAGGTGCGATTTTTCAAATTTTCGAGCTCCCCCAAAACAAATTAGTGCTCACTCCCCTTTCCCCCACTGAGCGAATTATCGGCCGGCGCGATTTTCAAATTTTCGGGAGCAACAAAATAAGAATTAGTGCTCAGCCCCCCCCCCCCCCCCCCCCGCCCCACTGAACGAATTATCGGCCGGCTGTATCGCCGCTAAATATTTTCTCACGAATTGGGCCCCCTCCCCTGCCGCCGGTTGGATCCACCCCTGCTCCCTCTAGGGTGCAAAACTACACCCCGCCCTATATGGTGCTGTTTTAGTAGCAGAGGTCTGCACCTCTAATGGCGCAAATTTGAACCTTTATTTCTTAGTGTGTATGATCGCGGTTTGTAAAATTCAACCTTTAAAATAAATCATATGGAATTTTAAATGGATTTGACTCTGATTTCTAAAAACTCGAGATCACTCAATACTGAGACAAGGGAAGGGAATCCATCGCGTCCGGTCAATTATCCTCATACCTGTAGGTGAAGTTGTTAGTGGATGTCTTTTGAATGACTTCAGTCAATATGGAGATTGTAGTCAGTATTTCGTTTGAGACCTGCTTGGAGCTCGTTGTCTCGAAGGTACTCTCTGGGATGTTCAAGATATTATCCACCGCTCCTATCACGCTCTCGGAGACCTATTAGAAATTGATTTGTGCATGATATATTTTTTTTTATAGCAGATTTTTCTGCATTTATTGATAAATCAAATATAAAACATTCGAATAACAATAATAGTTTATAATACAATTGATTTACATAAAGAATGACAACTTAAATACACACAAATAGAAAATGCATAATTGAAAGCTTAAAAGTATCGAGGTAAGTAAAAAAAAAAAAAAGTAATCAAGATAAATGCAGAGGCCAACTATCATAAGCAAGAATGCTTGAGTCGATAGCAGCCGGGAAGGGGGGGGGGGGGGTACATGGCGTGGTATAGGCATGGATTTAATTCATTCCCAATCCACTTGCAATAATTAAAGGACAGGCTAATTGATTTTGAATATTGATGTTATTTGCATCATGGTATACGAGAAAGTGACAACTAACAATTTTATAAAGTACCGCCTTGGAAACATTCAAAGTAATGATTATTAATCATTATAAAACTAAAATACCGCCCCATTTTTGCACTTGTCTCTTGAAGAGCGCTCCGATCACTCCTTAGATTTGTGACGTCACTAACGGGACCAAATGAGCTATGCACACGACGTTCCATAACATAAATACACTCTAATGCCTGTTTTGTCGTTTTCCCTTCACTTATTTCTCTTACGTTACAAGGGTCATTTAATAATTGTGATTATTTTTTCTATTCTAAATGTCGAACATATTTAATTTTGAGGAAAAAAACAGTCTTAAGTATTCTACATCAGCGTTTCTCAATCTTTTTTGGGGCACGCACCCATTGATGACATAACAAGTTTCGCATCACCCTAATCCCAAATTCATCAAAGATGATTTGTTTTCCACCCAATATAATTATACATAAACGCACGCTCGCATTTTCGCGTTAGGGCCGTGAAATAAACTATCCGGATCTCAAATACTGCAAGGGAGCAAGAACAAAATGGAACTTTCATTATTGTAAAAATGTTATTAGTCATCAATATACACTACAGACAATATTAAATTATATATACGTTCATCTCGTTGCCATGGATCACCCTGATTTATAAATTTTACGAGAATTGAAGCGAACAAGGGGGAAAAGGACACTTTGTTGTGTTATAATTTTCATTGTGATATTTAAAAAATAAATATTAATAAGGTTATGTTCCGGCGCCATGCTGCTCGAGCCATGACGATATTCCGGCAGCGAATACCCGAATATCGTCATATCATCATAATGGAGATATTCATAGACCATGCTGCCTAAAACTATCAGATTTTTTAAATTCTGCGCGCAAGCAAAATTATAATTTACTCATCATTTTCTCATAAAAATACCCAAAGTGATATATTTTTGAGCACCTTGAAGTTTCTGATATTCCGTTATACCAAAATTAGTTATATTATAACTAAAATGTTCTCGCGGCACCCCGGATGAGAACGCTGTACTAGATTGCTACAATTTGAGGGGTCAGATTGACCATACGGGGAGGGGATTACACGACAATTATTTCTTCATAATTATAAGAGTTTGATTATAAGATATACCCTTTGCCCTGTGGAAAAATTGTGCATTTCGTATTGAAATATTTTTCCCGTAGGTCTTCTAGCTATCTCTTAATCCTATCACCATTTGGTTATCTTCTCTGCTGTACACTCCCCCCCCCCCCACTCCGTGATCGGAGGGATACCATGCGTGTTATGGCCCGGTCCCACTGGCCGATGGACACAAAACGTATGCATAACGGACACAGCGGACGAGCAAAATTTTCGGGGTGGTTCCATCCGTTTTCATCCGCTCCAGAAATGGACAAAATTTGCGAACAATTTGCGAACGAAAAAAAACGGACGTGGGTAGTATAAAGCGGGGATGTTAAAAGGATGTTCATCGGAAGCCTAGCGGGTGAAAGCGGATGGAAGTGGATGACAGCTTTGAATACTTTATATACGAGATGCATACGCTTACATCCTTTTTATTTCCGTGCTACTAACAATGTATAATAATAATAATAATAGTTCGTTCTTTTATAGCGCATTTCAGGACCGAAGGCCCTCTCAAAGCGCTTTACAATGTACAATGTACGTTTACATAATAATTACATAATAATTACTCGAAGCATTCATCAAAGAGGTGAGTTTTCAGCGCTCTTTTAAAAAGTTCAACATCAGTCATGGAGCGTAGCGACACTGGAAGAGCGTTCCAAAGTTTTGGTCCACCACATGCGAATGCCCTGTCACCATATGTTTTTGTGGCTCCATGATTGAGGGTGAGAAGGTGTTGAGAAGATGACCGCAAACGCCTTGGTGGGATGTACGGTGTGAGTAAATCTGAGATGTACTCTGGACACATGCCATGGAGAGCTTTGAAGACGATCAGAATCACCTTGTAGCGGATCCGTAACTGAACTGGCAACCAGTGAAGATCTCTCAAGATAGGTGTTATGTGTTGAGACCTCTTCACTTTCGACACTAAGCGAGCTGCAGAGTTCTGAATCCTCTGTAGCTTACCTAGTTCTCTCTCTGGAGCTCCCAGGAGAAGGCAGTTGCAGCTGTCAAGCAGTGATGTTATAAAGGCGTGGACCAATATCTCAGTTGTCCTGCTATTGAGATAATGACGGACACGACCTATTCTTCTGAGGGCCAAAGATGCTTTCTTGCAAGTATTGTTGACATGTTGCTGCATAGTCAAGTGACAGTCAAGGATTACACCAAGATCACGAAGAGATGGGGATGGTCCAACTTGACTGCCACCAGATGTAATAGCGCCCAGTTCTTGACGTTGCCTAAAACGTGACGACACATGCAATACCTCCATCTTACTATCATTAAGTGTAAGTTGATTTTCACTCATCCAGCAACGAATGTCCAGTAGACAGAGTTCGAGTTTTGAGACCATTTGGTCCCTTGCCTGGGGTTTCATTGTGACATACAATTGTGTGTCATCCGCGTACATCATTGTTGAAAATCCATGGCTAAGGATGATTTCTTCCACAGGAGCGGTATAGCATATGAACAGGAGCGGACCGATCACCGATCCTTGCGGGACGCCCCATAGCAGCGTTCTGGGATTAGACTTCACATCCTTGACTAACACACTCTGTTGTCTTCTCGAAAGATAGGATGCAAACCAGTCCAATGCCACCCCGGTAACACCGAATCTGTCTCGGAGCCTGGTAAGAAGGATGGAATGATCCACAGTGTTGAATGCCGAGGTTAAATCCAATAAAAGAAGGACTGCCTCATTCCCAGTATCCAATGACTGCAAGAGGTCATTCTGAACTCTTATGAGAGCAGTCTCTACGCTGTGGTGCTGCCTGTATGCAGATTGTCTAGATGGTAGTAGAGAGTTCGAATTCAGATACGTCATCAGCTGCTGACTTACGATCCGTTCGATGACTTTCCCAGGGAAAGGTAAATTTGAAATCGGACGGTAGTTTTTAAGAGTCTCTGGGTCTGCAGAAGGACTCTTCAGCGTTGGGATGATGAGTGCAGATTTCAGTGATGATGGAAAGGTTCCAGTCTGAAGTGACTGGTTTGTCATGTCCGTTAAAGCAGGAAGAAGGATATCCAAGCACTTTTTGAAAACACATGCTGGAACAGGGTCAAGTGAACATGCCTTGATCTTATTTGATTTGATGATCTTGAGCACATCAGCATGGGAAGCCTTGCCAAACTTCTCAAATGAACAAAGCGGTTTGCTTCCAGCTACCAAACATGAAGAAGCCCCAGAAGATCCAGGTTCTTGATTGTCTACCTGTTCGTAGTTCCGCGTTCTTAGATTGACGATCTTACTTTCAAAGAACTGTGAAAATCTTTTAGACAGTTCTGCTGGTGAAGTATGAAGTGGTAAGGTCTGTGAAGGGCTCTCCACGGTCAACCTTTGGATGGTTCGGAACAATTCCTTGTGGTCACAGCCTGACATTTTGTCACGATGATAGTTTCTCTTTGCTTCCTTTAGGGCAGAATGATAGTCTGATGAAGCATTTTTGAGCAGCTGCTTATTTATTGTTGTTACACTGCTCCTCCATCTCCTCTCTTTCGCCCGGATATTACGTTTGAGCTTTCTTAGTGACTCGTCATACCATGGTGCATGTGGTCGTAGTTGAATACTCCGCTGTGATACTGGGGCATGCTTATCAAGAGTTGTGGACAGTGTTGCATTATAGAATTCAACCTTTTCATCCACATCAATATATGCAATATTAGTTGCTCTCTCAAAGCACGACGTAATGTCTGTATAGACGTTCCATGTACCTCATCTTTTCTCCCTCTTTCCGTTTTCAGCTGCAGCGGATGTAAGTTGCGAGGATGCCCAGAGGATGCATAGAGGATACAGCGGACGTTTAACGGATGATAACGGACATAGAACGTTTGTTGCTCGTATTTGTCGCGGATTTACATCGTACACGGCGGAAGTTCATCCGTTCTAAAAGTTTTGTGCAGCTTAAAACTTTTTGCGCGGATGAAATCACAGTGGACGGATGCTCGATGGATAGAGCGTATGAAACACGTATGCAATGAGTACACAACGGATGCATAGCGTTTTCCAACGGATGGCAAGATTTTTTTACGTTTTACATCCTCTTTGCATCCGTAAGTGCAGTGGGACCGGGCCTTTACCAAAATGTCCGGTATTAAAGGAGTACTTTTCACGCACCAAAGTCCGGCTCGTAGTATACACAAAATCCCGTTTTACACACTGGACTTAGAGGGTGTGTTCAAAAGGAGGGAACATGCATATGCGTACCCTAAATAACACTGAGTGGGGGGGGGGGGCAGGTGTACAATGCATGAAGGACGCAGATCGGATCGCCCCAAATAATTTTCGAAAATCGTTTAATTAATGCGCGTCGTACAGTAGGTTATCATAAAGTAAAATCACGACTTGATTTGATGGTGAGTAATAAAGAGAAGGCTGAGTTCTGGGAAGAGATGAAAAATAATTTGTGAGCGCTATCATTGGTATTATGCAAGTGTGGAATAACATCAGATTAAAAATGTTCCCTAAAAAGCATGGCTCTTCAAATGCCTTAATATTCTAAATATGGCATGTAACATCATGAAATTCGGGACGGATTCTTATGCCACATGTTCGTGTAGTCCCATATACATCGTTCTGTGTGTACAGTGCTTGTAACTTTACACATACTTGGCTAAATTTCGTACAATTTGATGATTCCAGGACCTTGCAGTACACACCAATACTTATATGCTAGATGATCAACCTTTTCTTATCAATTCCACAACGTTTCTTTCACAATGCAATCGCATGACTAGAACTCAACTCTATCTGTAGACCTGTACAGAGAAACTAAATCTTAGTGATTAATGCTCGTAAATATTCCTGCTACAGCAGCTATAATCTCGTCATCTTTCCCATTCTTTTAAGAAGGTAAACATCACAATCAATCAGTATTCTTCTTCTTTTAGTAATTAATGTTGGAAAAGGATCAGTAAAGTAGGCATAAATAGGCCTATTGGAAGAGCATTTCCATCATAATTATATGGCACTCTGAGATTTAAAAAATAAAATGAACAAGGTAATTTACATCCCAAAACTGCTTACTAGCGTATAGGTTCCCTTGATCCTCTATTCATATTAATGTCGATAATATTAATGAGTCGTAAATGGCCGTTCCGTGACAAATTTTGAAATTCTTGGTTGTCTATCATGTTATAATCTTTTTTTTAAAACAAACTAAGTTGAGAAATGATGGAAGTTTCATGATCTTTGTTTGTACGCTCTCAAAATAAAAAAAATTAAGGCAATAATGATAGAGATAATGATAATGGTAATAAAAATGCCCCCTAGTCGCTTGTGAATCCCATTGTTTCATACGTTTTGCCTCGATCAAATAATTATATTTTAAAAGACTAATCATATTGTCCCAATGTCGCTAAATTGTATGATAAGATAATTTTTGAAGGGCATTTTCAAACAATTTATCTCCTATCTCACGTCCTTCTTTCTTCTCCTTTATCTCTCCCTTCATTTTCACTTTTATTTTGCCATTCCATTTGGGAAATCTACAGATGCACACCACTATCTACATGCGAGCCTCATTGATTATAACTAGAACCATAAGGCCCCAATTTTGTCCCTTGAGGAATTACAGTGAGCTCATCCTCCAATTAAGAATAGCTCCCTCTATTTACAAAGGCTTGGTTCTGAGATGACGTGTTAAATGATAAATCCATACAATAAATAATTGTACTCCATGCGATATGTACTTGAGGAGCATAGCATCACTAAAAGTTTGAAATCTTACTTGTAAAATGACATCTTCTGTTAAGTTCTGCTCCGATGCAAATCCAACGATGCTTCTCAATTTGTCGGTGACCGATTCCAGGAGCTCCTCATCAAATGTCGTCGATTTCTCTGTTACATTCACTAATTCATCAGATATAACTTCTATATTGGCCATCGTGATATTTGTCTAAATAAGCAATTATTGAAAAAGAAAATGAAACACAACTAACCCTCAAAACTTTAATTGCGTATCAAAGCTGTACAAATATATACATATATTCAAAATTGAAAGAAAAAAGTAAATGAAACTACAAAACTACAAAATAACAAATAAAGGTCATTTGCCAAACAATTTTGGTAGAAAATGTATACTGGCTGAGTAATAAGCATAGAAAGATAAGGAAATCAAGGAGTACTAGCCCCGACATCATTTGTGTAGTCCCATACATATCTCTCTGTGTACAGTGCTTGTTACTTTATAAAGACTGGGCCAAATTCATTATGATTTTGATGACTCCAGAACCATGCAGTATACACCAATACTTACATGATACATGATCAACTTTTTCTGATCCATTCATCACCCTTTCTTTCACAATGCAATCGCAGGACCTGGGGTGATTCACTAACAGCTAAAATCGATCCGAAATGAGATTAAAATCGCTCTTAGGCTCCTGAGAGCGATATCGCTTTTAGGAACTGATTCACTAAGGCATTTGGGATTAATGCTAGCAGTGAAATCGCTAAAGGCTGAGAGTGATCCGGATTGCTCTTAGCATTGCCTTTTGTGTGTAATCATTACTAGGACACTTTCTGGCCAAGACAGAACTGTCAAACTGAAGCTAAATTAGAGCAAACACAAGGAAGATAGATTGATTTGACTGATTTGATTTACTCTATGATAGGATAGGCCTAATTTAATTAGTGCCAACAACATGCAAAACACCTTAGACTTGGATTTTACATCAAGACTGTACGATGATCATCCCTACAGCCTTGGCCCAACCCACACTAGAGCCGGCTACATATAACGTTAAATCCTGCATTTAACTTGAAACAAGAGTAAAGAAAGACAAACTATACCCACAGAAAATCATATTCATCCTCACACTGCTATAAATCTACATGAAAAAGTCATGAATGAATTTCTTTCTGTCTTGTGCGAAATTTCAATCAATTTTCTTGTAATATTGGAAAAAAATCAACATAGAAATGAACGTCATTGACAAATTAAGCGACGATTATCTTAATGTCGATCGGTCGCTCGATTGATTGATGCCAAGTGACCAACATTTGAGTCTGTTGATTGGGTGGATTGATCACGTACATGAATATTCATATGCGTGCATGATTATTCACGCTGGGATTGATCCCAGCCTAAAAGCGATTTAGTGAACAGTCAGGTAGAATCGCTTTTAAGCTGGGATTGAAATAAATCCCAAACATTGCTCTCATGAACGATATTGTTCCCAGTTAGTGAATCACCCCCCCCCCCCTCCCAGAACTCACCTTTATCTTTAAGAAAATTTCACGTGTATTCGGGATTATTATCAGGATGACTTAGCACATGTATTTGCTTTGATGGTCTTATATTAAGATATCGTACATTTTCCGAAATATTCTTCTATCAATGTATAACACAGGAGGGGATGGGAAATTGAGGAGAGTCTTTACTAGGTTTCCTGCCATTCCGGATTCATTATGCTTCATACACTGAAATCATATTATTGAGAGTGATATATCTATTATGAATATATATATATATATATATATATATATATATATATATAAAGAGAGAGAGAGACAGACAGACAGAGACAGAGAAGGAGAGATAGAGGGAGAGAGAGAGAGAGAAAGAGAGAGCATTATAGGTGAGAGCAAAAGGAAAAGCAATTGATATGAAAGAGTTATTAATGTTTAAGGATGACTTACATTCACTATCTTATTAACTTCTTCTTCGATTGGTGAGTGAGTTGTAACTGTGAAAAGAAAATCAAGCACAATTAAAAAAGAATTGATGTAGAGTATTATCACTATAGGAGACAATTATTCGGTTTCCGTTGTACATGGGAGCACTAAAACTAGAGGCTATCATGGAGCACAGGCTAACGAGAGATGATTCAAGAGATGATTTCAAATTTATTACATTATATAATTTTCTCCTAAAAAATAAGCAAAAAGCAAAAGGATGGAAAAGAAAAATTACTTTAAATAGCCATTTTTGACATGTTATTGTACATATGTATATATATAAATAATTCATAAAATAGTGTGTGGCAAAAATAGTCAACTGTGACTGATTGCAAAAACAAATCCAATCAAGAAAGAAGAAAGAAGAATGCCTTATGTAATCAGACATGTGCATGGTTACCTCTGAACTAAAGTGGGAATAATGCAACTATCATTAGTCCTGATGACTAATCTCGTGATGACTCTCAGTTATTGCAGCTGAACAGCTGAAATGTCCATGTTCAACTATGCGTTTCGGTGTATATCGTTTCAAATATAATTCAAGATGCCGTTCCTATGGTAAATAACCATTCTCCGATGATGCGATGATTATCAATAATATAATTGACCTAGAGTTACGTGTGGGTTACAATAAGGAACCCGTATGTATCATGCGAAAGGAAATGAGAGTATGATGGTTGCGTAGCTAAATCAAGGTTCATACTACTGCTGTTCTCCATTTTGAAATCATTATACAGTGCGTCCCAGAAAAAACAAAACCGAGAATGATCGATGTCTAAAGTGATGCTTGCATTTCCCTTAAAATTGATTAAGCGCATTCATTTTCACTGGCTGCCTGCCGTTGCAACAAACAGAGTTGACAAAAGTCTTTCGTCTTTTTTGTGCATGGCTGATCGTCAACGAAACGGAGTTCAGTCTTTTGTCAACTATGCTTCTTGCTACGGCAGGCAGACAGTGAAAACGAATTCGTTTAGTCGAATTATTCAAATGCAAGCATCACTTTAAACAAACAGAACTGTTTTATTCCTGGCTCGTCTTTCCTGATTGAGGTGTCATATGAAAGGGCAGAATATAAACTTTCTAGAAATGTGATTTTCTCTTTGAAATTCAGATACCGCCCGCCAAATGACTTTTTGGTACCCTCTCTTCAAATTGTTTTTAATGACTTATATATGCATCATATGAGTTGCATCAAATGAAAAAGGAGCATTTAAGCTTTACGAATATGTGTCATTTATTAATTATAATTGTGATTAGTTATGATAAAACATCGATAATTCTCTGTTTCGTTTTTTCTGGGACGCACTGTATATGAAAGAAAGCCAGTTTTTATTTCATAAGCCACATCGACAGTGGTACAATAGATTACATGACAAACATATATCCCGATAAAGCATGTAGGGCCTAGGACAAAACATATATCAAAACTTGATTAAAGTGAGGTTCCTTAAATCCATATCTTTTTAGTTTTAGGGACACAGTGGACAAAAGCATTAGACTTTCTACAGGTACTTTCAAAACCCGAGCTTTAAGATGATGACGTGGATCCTACTCAAATGATTGGTTGAAAGCGTACACGTGACCAGGCATTTATTTTGCCTTACGCGTAATTTGGATAATGACCGGTCATTATCCAATTCTAATGACCGGTCATTAGTAAAATCATGTTATACAACATAATTTTATAAAACAAATAAAATATAATCTCATAAAACAAATAAAACACAGTATTTTGTTCGGGCATTAGTAAAATTACCTACATTCGGTACGTGTTATACTGTTCCAAAGGTAACTGTGTTAGGGCACTGCTGTGTATTATTTGTATATTATGCAAATGTTATGTAGTCTAGTGGTATTACATTTGCATTCAAATGTTAACTCTTAAAAATGTAGATAGTTATATCGTTATCCACAGAACTCACAAAATCAAACTTCATAGTCTTCATAGTTGATTATGTAAACGTATGCACATTGGTATGAATTTAGCTATCACTAGGGCTTACAAAAATAATAAATTGCAAATAATGATAATACATAAGATTTGTATTGCGCCAAATCCACTTGACAGTCAAATGCTCAAGGCGCAGCTTGTGCAAAGATGAAATACATGATAAATATATACAAAAGTGCATTAGGAAAGGTACAGACATGGAAGGTAATGGTATTACAAAAAATAATTATAAGCTAAATTAAGCAATTATTTCTTAAGATTGTTTTTTAACACTTCACCAGAACTGCTATTTGTAATCCATTGAGGGAGAGTATTCCATAATGAAGGCCAAGCATGAGCAAAGGTTTGCTCCCCCACTTTGCAATCGTATTCATGATTGAAGTAACGAGTAATATACCATTCTTGTAATGAAATCAAATGTAATACATACATTTGCGTCTCTATGAAGTGTCTCAATACAAATATTTTATTCACCAGTAATGGATAATTGTATTTAATAGTCAGAATGCAATATGCATTTATTACGTGTTATTAGGTATGATAAGCCATAACATTTATCCTACACAGCAACAAATAATGTATGCGGTTCGCATTCTGCCTATTGAAATACAATAATTCGTAACAGATGAATGAAATAATTTGCATCAAGGCAGTTCACAAAGACGACTACATTAGATTTGGTTACATAATAAAAATGGTATTTTTGCGCACGATGGCACTAAATACAATCATATGTGTTTAACAAACGCACTAATGCTCTCGTCAACGTACTTTAAAAGATGGTAGTTGCTGCTACTTTGTTTGGCGTTCAACAAAAAGGGATAGAGCAACGTCGATCTGGCGCTGCTCAGCGGCTGCCGGGCTCACGATCAATTGGGCAAAAAGAATTTTCATTTCATTGGACTAAAAGATTATTATCATTATTATTATTATTATTATTATTATTATTATTATTATTATTATCATCATCAAAGCTGATTGTATTGGAACCGTCATGTGAAACTTTTCGACAACGTATGATGGGAGTTAGCCTGATCGAATGTTGACTCGCCATTCGTCCCTTTCTACGAAGGTATGTTGTACCAAGGCGCACATAATTACATTCTGTAGTTGGCATCTCCCTTGTGTGGTACCAGCTTGCTAGGTTCTGAGTAAAGCTTTATGAATAGCAATTGTTGGCAACATAATAGATGGCATCTCGACATAAAAGACTGCTAGTGCTATGTAAAATCAACTTTTAAACCATGTACTTACTTAAACCGCGCTTTCTCTATTAGAGAGCACACAATGTCTAGTTCCAAACTTAAACTGTGGTGAGTTGCCTACTCCATAGTTTGTACGTAGGGATTTTAGTGGGGTACTATAATTTTGGTTTTATGCAAATAGCCCTGACATTTTACAAGCTATTTACAAGTAATCTTTCGTTCAACGCTTACCTAAAGAGCTGATAGTTGTATATACCTGAGATAGAGTAGATGAGATCCCTTGAGTAGTGTCTTCCTGTGATGTTTGGCCTTGAGTACAATCCAAAGAAGTAAATGAATCATATTGACAATCGACTAAATAAACGAATTCGTAAAGTAAAGCACGTGATTACAACCCGGCCCCCCCACTCAGTGTTATTTAGGGTACGCATATGCGTGTTCCAACCGACCCCCCCTTTTCAGCAAAAGTCCGGTGTGTAAAGTCAATACGGCTCGACCTTTTTCTTTTGTATACGAGCCTTTTTCAGCATCCCCCCCTTTTCAGCAAAAGTCCGGTGTGTAAAGTCAATACGGCTCGACCTTTTTCTTTTGTTACGAAAAGGACATTTTGGCAACACGCATGCGGTCATTTTGAAACCTGAGTGGGGGGGGGCCGGGGATTACAAATGGTAGTTGGAAAGGCTCGATTCTGTTAAACAGTAAAGATGGTATTTATCAAATATTATTTGAGTTCGAACACGCAAAATAAAAAAAGTGTTCCCATGCTATTGGTTAAATAAATTATACGTTTGAAAGAATATTAATTAAGTAGTAAACAAAACAATTATAATTTGAAAGAAGTAGCTACAAAAGATTTTGTTGATATATCTAGTTTCAAGACTAAACATTATTATTTATCCCTCCTGAAACAAAAACTTCAAAAACCAAATAGTACACGTTACTGGGAGTATTACTTGAATTTACCTTTATCTTGTAATTGGCAGAAAGTATCCAATTTTAGATTTCAACAATTAGGAAATAATAGGATAAAGCAAGTTAATTTTAAAGTATTGCATAATATATTTCCATCAAAACATAATTCATGCAGATGGTGTATAATGGAAAATGACTAGTGTGATATATGTAAAGAAACAGAAACTACTTCTCATGTTTTGTTAAAATGTAACAAGGTTAGGGTTTTTTGGAAAATTATTGAAATTGTTATTATAATTACTTTCATGAACAAATAAATATTAATGAAAGAGCATTAGTTATAGGTTATGTTATTGAAAAGGATGAAAACTTTGTGATAAACTTCATGTTAATTTTAGGAGAATACATAATAAACATAATGCATATCCAACTTCGGTATGATAGTAAAGAGTACAATAGTGAAAGTCTGTTCATTAATTTCAAATTAAAACTGCGATATTATATAGCAAATAAACAAAGTTTTTTATTTTTATTTATTTATTTATTCAAGTCTTCTTTATACAGGGTGGCCCTGTAAAGAAATTTTTCGAGAACTGTTAAGGCTATAACTATTTATTTAATTACTTTTGTCTTTTTGTATTATGTTAATATGTAAATTGATGTCAATATATATGAAATGTGAAATATGTGAAATAAAACACCTCGGTAAGAGGCCAAGAAAAAAAAATCATCAAAGCTGATGGTATTGGAACCGTCATGGGAAACTTTTCGACAACGTATGATGCAAATTAGCCTGATAGAATGTTGTCTCGCCATTCGTCCCTTTCTACGAAGGTATGCTGTACCCAAGAGTACAGAGTTTCATTCACTAGTTGGCATCTCCCTTGTGTGGTACCAGCTTGCTAGGTTCTGAGTAAAGCTTCATGAATAGCAATTGTTGGCAACATAATAGACGGCAACCCGACTAGACTGCCAGTGCTATGTCAAATTAACTTTTAAACCATGTACTTACTTAAACCGCGCTTTCTCCATTGGAGAGCACACAATGTCTATTTCCCAACTTCAACTGTGGGTGAGTTGCCTACTCAATAGTTGGTGCTTAGGGATTTTAGTGGGCTACTATAATTTTGGTTTTATGCAAATAGCCCTGACATTTTACTAGCTATTTACAAGTAATCTTTTGTTTAACGCTTACCTAAAGAGCTGATAGTTGTAGAAACCGGAGATAGAGTAGATGAGATCCCTTGAGTAGTGTCTTCCTGTGATGTTTGGCCTTGAGTACAACCCAAGGAGGTAAATGAATCATATTGACAATCGACTAAATAAACGAATTCGTAAAGTAAAGCACGTGATTACAAATGGTAGTTGGAAACCTCGATTCTGTTAAACAGTAAAGATGGTATTCATCAAATATTATTTGAGTTCGAACACGCAAAATTGAAGAAATGTTCCCATGCTATTGGTTAAATAAATTATACGTTTGAAAGAATATCAATTAAGTATTTAACAAAACTGTAAGATACTAATCTCTGTTTTGTAAGGACATTTTTTATTTCAGTTGACGATCGGAGTATGACGTCAGAAGCGATGGTTTTTTGGTTGAATTTTTGGTCTGCCGAGTGGGGGCGTAACAATTTAGCTGCAAATGATTCTCAATTTTGGGAAAAGTCATCCTTCTGATTGCGATCAATATTTAGTATTTCCAGACAAGCCCAATGTTGTGAGTATAATTTGAACATATGATGTTGATAATTGATAACTAGCCATCAGTTTGAGTTGGGTGTTGGTTTTATACAGTTCATAGTTTTCAGATAATTTGATGTATAAAATTTGTTATGAAAGTGATTTGTACGCACAGTAACTTTGTATGCATTACATGTGCAGTTACATAATACGGTTAAATAGTACGATACATGTGTGTAGTGTTATGGGGATAGTCTTTTGTACAGACCGTGTTGTGTTATTTTAATATCATTTATATATAGGCAGTTGTATAAAGTGACAGAATGTAGATAAATTCTGGTAACTGTAGACATGTATATAAAGAGGAATTTAGGGTAATATGTGTAGAGCCAAAAGGGTTATTGTTATTTCATTTTGGAACAGTGTAATATGTAACTTCAGTTAACATGCATTAATCATACAACTAATTTGATGCAAGATTGTTTGTAAACAGTTTAAAATTGACATATTATTTATAATTGTTTAATTCTGATTAAATTTCAGGTTGAACCGCCTTTTGTGAACGGTATCGCATCATGCTTGAAATTGTCGCTATTTATTGAAGTGCAGTCAGTCCGATTGGCAAGTTATACGCTACAAAAACAATTATAATTTGAAAGAAGTAGCTACAAAAGATTTTGTTGATATATCTATTTTCAAGACAAAACATTATTATTTACCCCTCCTGAAACAAAAACTTCAAAAACCAAATATTACACGTTACTGGGAATATTACTTGAATTAACCCTTTTCTTTTAATTGGCAGAAAGTATTCAATTTTAAATTTCAACAAATAGGAAATAATAGGATAAAGCAAGTTAATTTTAAAGTATTGCATAATACATTTCCATCAAAACATAAATTATGCAGATGGCGTATAATGGAAAATGACTAGTGTGATACATGTAAAGAAACAGAAACTACTTCTCATGTCTTGTTAAAATGTAACAAGGTTAGGGTTTTTTGGAAAATTATTGTAAACTTATGTAATAATTACTTTCATGAACAAATAAATATTAATGAAAAAGCATTAGTTATAGGTAATGTTATTGAAGAGAAGGAAAACTTTGTGATAAACTTCAGGTTTATTTTAGGGGAATACATAAATATACATAATATTATCCAACTTCGGTGTGATGGTAAAGAGTACAATAGTAAAAGTCTGTTCATTAATTTCAAATTAAACTACGATATTATATAGCAAATAAATATAAAAAAATATTGATGAAACACAAAGAATTTTTTCGAGAACTGTTAAGGCTATAACTATTTATTTAATTACCTCTGTCTTTTTGTTTCATGTTCACATGTAAATTGATGTCAGTATATATGACATGTGTAATATGTGAAATAAAACACCTTGGTAAGAGGCCAGGAAAAAAATCATCAAAGCTGATGGTATTGGAACCGTCATGGGAAACTTTTCGACAACGTATGATGCAAATTAGCCTGATAGAATGTTGTCTCGCCATTCGTCCCTTTCTACGAAGGTATGCTGTACCCAGGCGCACAGAATTTCATTCTCTAGTTGGCATCTCTCTTGTGTGGTACCAGCTTGCTAGGTTCTGAGTAAAGCTTTATGAATAGCAATTGTTGGCAACATAGTAGATGGCAACTCGACATAAAAGACTGCCAGTGCTATGTAAAATTAACTTTTAAACCATGTACTTACTTAACCCGCGCTTTCTCCATTAGAGAGCACACAATGTCTAGTTCCAAACTTAAACTGTGGTGAGTTGCCTACTCCATAGTTTGTACGTAGGGATTTTAGTGGGGTACTATAATTTTGGTTTTATGCAAATAGCCCTGACATTTTACAAGCTATTTACAAGTAATCTTTCGTTCAACGCTTACCTAAAGAGCTGATAGTTGTATATACCGGAGATAGAGTAGATGAGATCCCTTGAGTAGTGTCTTCCTGTGATGTTTGGCCTTGAGTACAATCCAAAGAAGTAAATGAATCATATTGACAATCGACTAAATAAACGAATTCGTAAAGTAAAGCACGTGATTACAAATGGTAGTTGGAAAGGCTCGATTCTGTTAAACAGTAAAGATGGTATTTATCAAATATTATTTGAGTTCGAACACGCAAAATAAAAAAAGTGTTCCCATGCTATTGGTTAAATAAATTATACGTTTGAAAGAATATTAATTAAGTAGTAAACAAAACAATTATAATTTGAAAGAAGTAGCTACAAAAGATTTTGTTGATATATCTAGTTTCAAGACTAAACATTATTATTTATCCCTCCTGAAACAAAAACTTCAAAAACCAAATAGTACACGTTACTGGGAATATTACTTGAATTTACCTTTATCTTGTAATTGGCAGAAAGTATCCAATTTTAGATTTCAACAATTAGGAAATAATAGGATAAAGCAAGTTAATTTTAAAGTATTGCATAATATATTTCCATCAAAACATAATTCATGCAGATGGTGTATAATGGAAAATGACTAGTGTGATATATGTAAAGAAACAGAAACTACTTCTCATGTTTTGTTAAAATGTAACAAGGTTAGGGTTTTTTGGAAAATTATTGAAATTGTTATTATAATTACTTTCATGAACAAATAAATATTAATGAAAGAGCATTAGTTATAGGTTATGTTATTGAAAAGGAGGAAAACTTTGTGATAAACTTCATGTTAATTTTAGGAGAATACATAATAAACATAATGCATATCCAACTTCGGTATGATAGTAAAGAGTACAATAGTGAAAGTCTGTTCATTAATTTCAAATTAAAACTGCGATATTATATAGCAAATAAACAAAGTTTTTTATTGACGATACACAAAGAAATTTTTCGAGAACTGTTAAGGCTATAACTATTTATTTAATTACTTTTGTCTTTTTGTATTATGTTAATATGTAAATTGATGTCAATATATATGAAATGTGAAATATGTGAAATAAAACACCTCGGTAAGAGGCCAAGAAAAAAATCATCAAAGCTGATGGTATTGGAACCGTCATGGGAAACTTTTCGACAACGTATGATGCAAATTAGCCTGATAGAATGTTGTCTCGCCATTCGTCCCTTTCTACGAAGGTATGCTGTACCCAAGAGTACAGAGTTTCATTCACTAGTTGGCATCTCCCTTGTGTGGTACCAGCTTGCTAGGTTCTGAGTAAAGCTTCATGAATAGCAATTGTTGGCAACATAATAGACGGCAACCCGACTAGACTGCCAGTGCTATGTCAAATTAACTTTTAAACCATGTACTTACTTAAACCGCGCTTTCTCCATTGGAGAGCACACAATGTCTATTTCCCAACTTCAACTGTGGGTGAGTTGCCTACTCAATAGTTTGTACGTAGGGATTTTAGTGGGCTACTATAATTTTGGTTTTATGCAAATAGCCCTGACATTTTACTAGCTATTTACAAGTAATCTTTTGTTTAACGCTTACCTAAAGAGCTGATAGTTGTAGAAACCGGAGATAGAGTAGATGAGATCCCTTGAGTAGTGTCTTCCTGTGATGTTTGGCCTTGAGTACAACCCAAGGAGGTAAATGAATCATATTGACAATCGACTAAATAAACGAATTCGTAAAGTAAAGCACGTGATTACAAATGGTAGTTGGAAACCTCGATTCTGTTAAACAGTAAAGATGGTATTCATCAAATATTATTTGAGTTCGAACACGCAAAATTGAAGAAATGTTCCCATGCTATTGGTTAAATAAATTATACGTTTGAAAGAATATCAATTAAGTATTTAACAAAACTGTAAGATACTAATCTCTGTTTTGTAAGGACATTTTTTATTTCAGTTGACGATCGGAGTATGACGTCAGAAGCGATGGTTTTTTGGTTGAATTTTTGGTCTGCCGAGTGGGGGCGTAACAATTTAGCTGCAAATGATTCTCAATTTTGGGAAAAGTCATCCTTCTGATTGCGATCAATATTTAGTATTTCCAGACAAGCCCAATGTTGTGAGTATAATTTGAACATATGATGTTGATAATTGATAACTAGCCGTCAGTTTGAGTTGGGTGTTGGTTTTATACAGTTCATAGTTTTCAGATAATTTGATGTATAAAATTTGTTATGAAAGTGATTTGTAAGCACAGTAACTTTGTATGCATTACATGTGCAGTTACATAATACGGTTAAATAGTACGATACATGTGTGTAGTGTTATGGGGATAGTCTTTTGTACAGACCGTGTTGTGTTATTTTAATATCATTTATATATAGGCAGTTGTATAAAGTGACAGAATGTAGATAAATTCTGGTAACTGTAGACATGTATATAAAGAGGAATTTAGGGTAATATGTGTAGAGCCAAAAGGGTTATTGTTATTTCATTTTGGAACAGTGTAATATGTAACTTCAGTAAACATGCATTAATCATACAACTAATTTGATGCAAGATTGTTTGTAAACAGTTTAAAATTGACATATTATTTATGATTGTTTAATTCTGATTAAATTTCAGGTTGAAACGCCTTTTGTGAACGGTATCGCATCATGCTTGAAATTGTCGCTATTTATTGAAGTGCAGTCAGTCCGATTGGCAAGTTATACGCTACAAAAACAATTATAATTTGAAAGAAGTAGCTACAAAAGATTTTGTTGATATATCTATTTTCAAGACAAAACATTATTATTTACCCCTCCTGAAACAAAAACTTCAAAAACCAAATATTACACGTTACTGGGAATATTAATTGAATTAACCCTTTTCTTTTAATTGGCAGAAAGTATTCAATTTTAAATTTCAACAAATAGGAAATAATAGGATAAAGCAAGTTAATTTTAAAGTATTGCATAATACATTTCCATCAAAACATAAATTATGCAGATGGCGTATAATGGAAAATGACTAGTGTGATACATGTAAAGAAACAGAAACTACTTCTCATGTCTTGTTAAAATGTAACAAGGTTAGGGTTTTTTGGAAAATTATTGTAAACTTATGTAATAATTACTTTCATGAACAAATAAATATTAATGAAAAAGCATTAGTTATAGGTTATGTTATTGAAGAGAAGGAAAACTTTGTGATAAACTTCAGGTTTATTTTAGGGGAATACATAAATATACATAATATTATCCAACTTCGGTGTCATGGTAAAGAGTACAATAGTAAAAGTCTGTTCATTAATTTCAAATTAAACTACGATATTATATAGCAAATAAATATAAAAAATTATTGATGAAACACAAAGAATTTTTTCGAGAACTGTTAAGGCTATAACTATTTATTTAATTACCTCTGTCTTTTTGTTTCATGTTCACATGTAAATTGATGTCAGTATATATGACATGTGTAATATGTGAAATAAAACACCTCGGTAAGAGGCCAGGAAAAAAAATCATCAAAGCTATTGGAACTGTCATGTGAACTGGTATTGGAACCGTCATGTGAAACTTTTCGACAACGTATGATGGAAATTAGCCTGATAGAATGTTGTCTCACCATTCGTCCCTTTCTACGAAGGTATGCTGTACCCAGGCGCACAGAATTACATTCTCTAGTTGGCATCTCTCTTGTGTGGTACCAGCTTGCTAAGTTCTGAGTAAAGCTTTATGAATAGCAATTGTTGGCAACATAGTAGATGGCAACTCGACATAAAAGACTGTCAGTGCTATGTAAAATTAACTTTTAAACCATGTACTTACTTAACCCGCGCTTTCTCCATTAGAGAGCACACAATGTCTAGTTCAAAACTAAAACTGTGGTAAGTTGCCTACTCCATAGTGGGTACGTAGGGATTTTAGTGGGGTACTATAATTTTGGTTTTATGCAAATAGCCCTGACATTTTACAAGCTATTTACAAGTAATCTTTTGTTTTGAACGCTTACCTAAATAGCTGATAGTTGTAGATATCGGAGATAGAGTAGATGAGATCCCTTGAGTAGTGTCTTTCTGTGTTGTTGGGCCTTCAGTACAACCCAAGGAAGCAAATGAATCATAATCTTGGCAATCTATGTCAACTATGAAAACGAGAGGGAGAGATTAAAATAGGAATGAAAAGTTTTCTTTTAAACATTAACAATCTGAGCAGAGAGATAGTAGAATGCCGAAAATTAATAAATATTTTTAAAAGAAGTTCCACAGTTATAAATGCATGCATATCACACCATTATGTTGGTAGCTTGGCTAGGTGTAAAAATGTCAGAGGTAAAATTGTCAGAGGAAAAAATGTCAGAGGTAAAAATGTCAGAGGTAAAAATGTCAGAGGTAAAATTGTCAGAGGTAAGAATGTCAGAGGAGCCGTGAAAATTACCCATTTACCGGACATTTTGGGAACACGCATGGTATCCCTCCGTCCATGGAGTGGGGGGGGGGGGGTTCACTTTATTCTAAATCCAAGGACTTAGGGGGTTCGAATCCAAGCCCGGCAATACAGTCACTGTTAGGGTCTCAGTCTATAATGCGATATTCCGATGGCCGGGTTAATAATAATATCTGTAATGCGCTTAGAGGCGAGTTGACGTCGATGTATTAAGCGCTATATAAACCTCGAATGTTGTTATTATAATTAGAATGAATAGGCACTATGAATATGACGGACAAAGAAAGAGGACAAAATATACAGTTCCTCATTCTACCCTCAACAATTGCTGTGGTAGATAAAGGAACATCCCTTCACTGCTATTATGTAAAAATGTGTAGAACAGGTGTCACATGCATATTCACTTGTTTTACTTATTTTACATAATAGCAGTGAAGGGATGTTCCTTTGTCTACCATAGCAATTGTTGAGGGTAGAATGAGGAACTGTATATTTTTTCCTCTTTCTTTGTCCGTCATGTTCATAGTGAGGACGGTTCACGGCTAGCCAGTGGGCTCGTGTGACGTCACGGGTCAAAGGTCACATGAGACGTACATTTTAACGTTTACAATAGCTAGTACCATTTTAATGCTGCTGCTGCCTGATAGCATAACTACAACACTGACGACCTCACACTTGGAGGGTCTCTAAATCTTCAACCGAGTATTCGGTTTTCTCAGATGAAATGAGCATCACGTTGTTAGTAACTCACCATCAATACTAAATTTAAAAAACCGAACAAATATCAATCAAATATTTCGGCTAGATTTTCAAACTTTAATACAGTAAATCGCATTTGACTGTAAGGTTAGAATAGAGAGATCTTTTTGTCATGTAACTACATGTGATATAACACCGAGGCTGAGCCTTGACAGACGATGGAGTCGGAATCGGTAAAAAAAAAGAGTCCACTGTTTTCCTAGAGGTTATTCGACAAACCTCATTGTTTATGTGCGTCATATGACGCGTTTTGACGCGTTTCAGACCAAGGTTTGTCTGAACCTTGGTCTGAAACGCATCGAAACCTAGGTTTGTCGACAAACCTCCTTTGTGAACTCGGGCCTTGATTGTCTTAATAGTATTTCCCATTTCATGAAGTCAAAAAATACATGTAGAAAGTTCATGGGAAAAAAATATAAGCAATTGCGCAGCGGTTGTAACCAATACGAGATATTATGTCTCCTTTGAACTTGGACACGTGACGTCATACGAGCTCGCTAGCTATCCATGGACTGGCTTTATATAGAACCGTAATGTTGTATTTCCCATAGTGATTGACTTGTATCTAAATATGCACGTGCTTGTCATTTATGGAAAAGCAAGGCTACCGGTGGTCTGTATCTGCTTGGAACAACACCATGCAGCCATCTGAAAGAGGTTTGCACAAAATAATGCTCATAACCTGCTGTCCGTCGCACGAGGAAAATGTACTTGCTGAGCAGGGGGGGGGGGGGGTATCGATTACTTTTCACTATCTCATTTGTTAAATATTGACCAATATAATGAAAGAGCAAAAAGGGCAGCCGAGGATTGCTGACATCTAACTCCTGGGAGGTGTTTCACAAAGATCCGAAGTCGAACTTCACACTCAGTTGGACTTAAACATTATGTAGAGCAATTTGTTGCCTTAAAATAAAATATTTTCAAAGGCAAAAATTGGAGTATTCAAGACTTTTCATAAATTCCACATCAAGAACATTAAATCTCCTGGATAATAGAAAACATGAATGATTTGAATCAACATTGTATGCCTTTTAAAATAACTTTTACAAAATATTTTCAAAGATGCTAACGACATTCCATAATAATATTGTTAAGTCCAACTACAACAAAATCAGATCAAGGCAATGTTTCCTCCAAAAGAAATGTCAATCATGTAGGACATGACAAATATTAATTTTAAGATATGACTAAAGTTTTAGACCAATACGAGACTTGAAACAAAGGTTATAGGCCCAAAAGGGGCAAAATATAAACATGCATGCCAAGTTTCAAGAAGACTGGATTCGAAACGGTATCTAAATGAGTTAGGGCGATATTCAATATGATAAGACAATGGACCAAGATTAAACTCGGAACTGACAAGCGTTTCGGATAAAGGCAATGTTTAATACGAAGAAGATTAAATCCGTTTGAGTCACGAGATCATCATCGCGGAACTGCTGGCAACTTTGACTACCATTTAAATAGGTGTTTTAAGACACCTAATAATGACTAATTTTTCACACCTAAATATCACGGATTCACAGCTTAGATTAGTAATCAGTTTT